AGAATTCACTGTGTTGAACTAATGTGGACATGTATTGCAGCTCTGCAGTTTTAGTCCAACCACAGAATGACAAAATAGTGTAGAATCAGAAAAAGCCATTTGTTGATTGTCATTTATTGTTTTATTTTATGAGAACAACCCTACCATGTCTAGAATTCAGCGTGTGATCTGTGAAATTACTTAATTTGTGTTCGGTTCTTTCGTTTTATTATTGTTCCTAAACTTAATGTTTATTAATTTCTGTGAATGGATCCATTAGGGCTCATTTACTGTCAGTCGCCTGAGACGTATAAGAAAAATTATCCTTTTGGAACATGCTGCCTCAAAAATGTGATTGACACCTCCATGACTGTTCATTACTTCACTGCATCTTTTGAAAACTTGTACAGTAGTTAAGTTCACGTTATAAATACCATTAAAGTTTGTGTTTTAGAAAGGTTAGATATATGTATAGCATTTCTTTCTGTATCTTTGATTAATAAAGTGTCCAGTCATTCATTGCCAGTGCATTTCAAAGTCAACCGGGATGGTGTAAATAGCCCAAAAAAGGCATTATTTGTGCTTTGAGTGCAGTGAGAAGCTAATTTGTCTGCACTATGACTTGTGCATTTTGTTACGAGTTCAAGAGAGTCATTAAAGGAGACATTATTAGGCACTGAGACATATTCTTAGTCTGAATATCTTTTTTCATTTTTAACCAAAACAATGCCCTCATGTATTGTCTATTCATCTGTCATCCCCCATCGTAGCCACAAGCCAGCTGCAAATAATACAAATGGAATGGTGACCTTGCTGTTTGGCAAACCTATATGGCATGTGTAATGTGAGCAGTGCATAACTTTGAGATGAGGTCATTTAATTGTTCTAAGTGTAGGTTTAACTCGGCCCGCCCCATAGCTGACTAGTATTTTGCTAGCTCCCTTTTTTTGGGCATATTTGAATGAGCTTGTCGAGCTTCGCACATACATTTCGTCATCTTACTTCTTATCACACCAAACCTCAATCCCAGAACATAGTCAGTGTCCCATTTTCAATTGGTAGAAAAAGAAGGAAAGCTAAGCTTCATATTTCATTTCAACTAAGGTCTTTGAGTGAAGACAAGCATTTTATTATCTTTTGTAAACAACCTCTTTCTGAAGGTTTCCTCTATCAATCAAACTTTTTGTTTTACAAAGTAAAGCCATTTCTAAAGTAACCATAAATCCTTTTTTGTTTTGATCTGTACTGCAAGGATGCGTGGTAAATCAGAGGAAGCACCTCATTCTATCCTGAAACAAAGCCACGCCACAGTGTATATACAAACACTGTTTTGCCTACTGCTCCCTCCTGGGCAGTCTGCTGCATGAGTGAATTCAAAACACTCAGCGAAGTCCAGACTGTGCTTTTACAAACCCATGGAACGCGAATGATTACGTTTGTGTGTTTAAGATAAGTAGACTAAATATTATTTGTAACGACACTAAACGCATTACTGCTGATGAACAAATACACTCAATGTGTGGCTAGCAAATGCGGTTGATAAGCTCAGTGGAATCAGTTATTTTCACATTGAGGCTGTCAAATCTGTCATGTTTCACTCATTTGGGCAGGTTTCGCATCAACTGGATTTTGAGAATGTATTAAAATGATAAAGTATGCAGGGAGGAAACATGTGCACGCCAAATCTATTGATTCATTAGAAATACGATCTCAATTGTAAGTTGATTTGCTCCTGTACCAAACAAGCAAGCACTCAAGGAGAGGGAGTGTCCCATTGAGACCTGCACAGTAACATAGTTTAACCAGTGTTTACTCCTTTGCCTCCGACCAATGCAATCATCCCACCTGGCTTCATGACCCTCCTCCTAAACTGGGCTGGTTGTTAGGCGACTTCTGCATCTGCAGGCATAGTGTGGGTCTGTGAAAGGTGACCACCAAATGTGTTCATTATGTGAAAGCTCTGGTTGCATATGAATGGGCTCCAGGCAGGTTTAACACGCACTCAGTAGACTCGCATAATGCACACATCTCCAGTGTGAAAGGAGTAATAGTCAGAGCTGAGGTCATGTCGGTTTGCCAGTCAATCTTTAATGCATCCATGCACAAAGACTCTCTTCACACCACGAACAAAGCACAACAGACACAGATGGAGGGTTTTTGTGAGCGTCATGCATACTTTGCTGTTGACTTCAAGGCCATGTTATCTTAATGGCCACTGTCCAAGACACACAGGTTTATTGGAATATTTTTGCTCGTTATTCTATTTTAAAAGTTGTGAAAAAGCATAGTCAAGGTGTGTTTGATTTAAGTAAACATACTGTACTGTAGCCCTTTGTGTGATTTTGTGTTGTCACTGCCTCAACAGCGTCGTTGACATCACAAGTGCGAGATCATGTGTCTGGTCAGTTTTACCGTTCTGCTGGTGCTAAGTCATGGCTGAGTATCAGGTGACTACTACACAAGCTGGGTGCTGCCGATGTACAGCTTAAATATCCATGTCACGGTGTTGATGTGCTGCTGTTTCTTAGCAACCAGACTGCTTAATCAAGTGTTTATCTGCCACCGAATACAGTTTTTTCCACTAAAGCTGCAGTGGTTGGTTATACTCTTGTAGGAATCATTTCTCCATCAAATATTAAGGAATGTCTCTGTGGGTCTTATTACATTAAATTGCATGGGAGGCTAATTTAGTTTATCATAGGATAGACCGTGTTATGTAGCTGTCTGAAGAAGTATCTTTTGTATAAATGGGAGAAAAAATAAAACTTGGATCATGAGACCCAGGTTTGCTTTCAGTCCCATCCAAGGAATGCTCTGGTCAATTTTTGAAAATAAACAACAACAACAAACCTTAGTGAGATATAGAAGTATAATTGCTGAGAACAAAATACATTATGTTTGACACAATTAAAAGATTTCGGCAAAGATAAAGACTGTATTCAAAACGAGAAGTTGGGTCTTTTTGAATTGAGTTCAGGGCCGTCTGAACATTTGTGTGGTCAGCTGCACTGGCTTCAGTTTCTGGCCAATGATAAGTGGCCTACCTAATAATCTAGGCTCTGTGTTCAAGGGGTTTAACTTGTGTGCATGCCATCTCAAGTTACTGACAGCAAGAGCAGATAGTTCTATTTTTAAAAATGGTGAATTGATTTGCCATAAGGTGTGTGCATTTCAATGGCCTCCAATTTCTGATCTAGCTTATGTAGGGCTGGGAATTAATCTTATATCATACTTTTATAGTCTTTTCATGAAATCATAAAGGTTTAATCATATTTTATAATGTATTGATGCACTGTAATGTTGCCTTTATTGATGATATCAAACACGTATTAACTCAAATGCCTTAAAGAATCTGATGGGAAGTTTTTACAGTATTCTATTCACACAGAAATATACAAAAATAAAAAGCTGTGTCACTATTTGTTTTTTGAATTACCAGAAAACATGCAATGTTGTTATATTTGTTGCAATCCTGATATAAATGAACCTATTTGTTTAATACAATTTTGGCCATATCACCCATCATTAAGGCAGAGCTTCTGAACTCTGAGCCAACAGAGACATTTGTGAAGAGAACCTTTTTTAGTTACACGATCCTGTAACAAACTATTTATTATCTGTTTCAGAACCTAATGTATCTCTTCCTGCTCATTCTTTATCACAGAGTCGGTATATGACCTCCTCCCCAAAGAGCTCCAGCTCCAGCCGTCGTCCACCCAGACAGACCCACCCACCATGAGCCAACAAAGTGGGGGAGAGGCGGGATCTCCCCCCTCTGCAGCCGTGGCTTCAGGTGAGCTACCTGCTTAGTCCATGAAAACCATGATCCAGGGTCAGTTTCCCCTCGCCAAACTACCCCCAAGACAGAAGGGGGAGAAAGTAGAATGTCTTTTATCAGTTTCTGGGGGCAACTTCACCCTTTCACCAGTTTCTGACATCAAAACTGTTTATTTTAATATTATATGAGCTTGTATAGTTATATCTTAGCTACGGTATTTTAATACTGAAATAATTTCGATTTTTACTTTGGTATATTATGACTTTCGTCTGATTCAAAATCCTACTGTGCTTCACATCAGGGGTCAGTGTTTACCGTGATTTGAAAGTGGGACTTTTTTTACATTTTAGGATTATGAATTTCTCTATAAAGCAAACTCCAATTAGTGAATTTGTTTTGTATAATATCTGAGTACCTTCTGTCTGTTGGCTTGTTTGACATGGGGCTGTTAGGTACTTTCTTATTATCCGAGCAGCATCCTTGAATTTGTGTTGGGTCTATTCAGCTCTGCATCTCTTCACCTCAACAGTTCACTTTATAAAACTGGAGGGCTGAAAAGAAGATATATTTAAGAATCGCTAAATGTAGGTTAAAGTCCAACCTCCCTTATAATCTAACTAAACTATACCATCTAGTGGCAGTGACTATAAGCTATTCTCAGTAGCTTCTAAGTAATGATAGTCATTCCTAATCCTCTATTCCTGGAAAGCTTTGCTCTAAATAACAGCTCCAAGAAATGGCAAGTTCTCAATAACAGCATGCTAACATAGCTTGTTCTTTTTCATTTCACCCTTTTCTTTAGCAGCACTTTCCCATTACATGCTTATGCTTTATTTTTTATTTTCACTTTGCTTTTTAGACCGGTAAATACAGGTTTCCTAACTTGTAGAGATGCAGCGTAACCAGTAGTGTAAATCCTCTCCAGCATCCTTTTATGTTATGGTATTAGATTGTGTTCCAGAGTCTGGAGCACTTCTGGATCAGTTTGTCTCTCTGAAGTTGTCAATATAGTTTTTATAACATTACATTACATTGCATTTAGCTGACGCTTTTATCCAAAGCGACTTACAATAAGTGCGTTCGACCAACAAAATACAAACTTGAAGAAAACAGAATCATATAAGTACATCAGGCTTCATAGAGCTAAAACATTTCAAGTGCTACTCAACTGGCTTTAGGTAAGCCAGTCCTTTATTAGTATATAAGTGCTTTGTTAATAGTTCTATCGCTCGAAGTGGAGTCGAAAGAGATGAGTTTTCAGTCTGCGCCGGAAGGTGTGCAAGCTATCTGCTGTCTTGATGTCAATGGGGAGCTCATAAGTTATAAGTTTTGTTTTCATTAAGTGCCTGAAACAGCCTATGCACATTTGTCATTCACACAGTCTTTAACACGCTCATACAACAGTAGGTCATCAGATAATTGATTGAGGTCTCAAACTTTTGTTTGTAATCAGCCGATATTCTCAGTAAATATGAAGGTTCTCTCTCTTTATGAAACAGTGAAGTTGCCCCTAGCAATCATTGGACTGTCTTTTAAATTAATTTAGCAAAATATGGTCTGATCTTGGATCATGGTTCACGATGGCCAACATCAGCTAAAAGTTCTGAAGGAATTCAGTCTGGAGTTTTATCTAAAGAGCCAATTAACTGGTCTACAGTGTTTGAGAGAGCACTTTTGTTAACGCTACCTTTAACTACCCTGTCTGACTCAGCTGACCCTAAGCAGTGCTGATCAAAAGCATGACTACTGTTATGTTTGTCAGGTTATCATTAACCTAATACTCTTGCTGTCTATAAATGATCAACTTCAAAAGTTACTCCTTCTTCAGTTTATGAATTCATCCAATTTACTGATTAACAGAAGTTGAATCTTGAATGATCAGCTCTCTTGTTGCTCATTGGCTGTCTCGTTTTTATTGCAGGAAGTTCCCTCTGAGGCAGGGAGTGTCTGCATATAAAATGGTCTGCAGTTCACTGCTCCATAGGTCAGAGGCTTGTTTATTCTGTCTCCATGGCTACGCTCAGTCCCAACCAAATCTTCCAATTGGCATGCGCAAACTACTGTTTACTACTGAATGCACATTGCACAAACTGTACTGTAACCCAGGCAACCCTGGCAAATTTAATTTGGCCTTATTACCAGCTTCCAAATTTGGCTGTACTAGAAAGTTTGACCAGATTTTTGTTCTGTTTCTTTCTGGCAATGTGTATGTAACAATTTGTAGCTTGCTTTTGTTTTTGTAAACAAAGCATGTCGGTTTTGTCACATTGATTTTAATTGAGAAAGGTTTCGTAGGAATCAAAACCTTGTGGGAGCTAAAGTACCCTTCTCAACTTTAACTTCAGAATATTTGATCAATGCTTGACGGCTCTCGCATGCACAGTGAGAGCATATAACCCACTACAGACTGTTGAAATTAGAGTTGGGAAGAGGGGAAATCAATACAAATCATGCACAAATTCAGCTGCTTGAATGGGACTGCTAGCCTGCACTGCGCCGAACATCTCAACTAACTTATGTATCTGTATATACTACCACAGATGCCACCTATTCCACCTCGAGCCCCTTGGCCTCCTCCTCCCTGGCTATGGGAGCCCCGTCCTCTGGCTCTTCTACCTCCTCCTCAGACCATCTCAAGGCCCCCCAGCATCTCCACTCCACTGGAGAAGATGGAGCTGCAGAGATTCAAGGTATGGAGGGTGCTGTGTCGGCCCCCAGCAGAGGAGCAAACACTGCAGCAGGAGACATAGGGTCAGCAGTGTTGTCAGGGCCAGGAGTCCAGCAGCCTCAGAACACCCCGTCCAAACGGAGGCCTGTGTTGAACATATCCCCCCCGCCCGAGGACCTGTTTGACGACAGCCAGATGTCCTGCCAAGAGGAGCCTTCAGTGTCCGCTCCAACGGGTCCAGACTCGGAGCATAGCAGCAGCATGTGGGCCGACGACTCTGTCTCCAACTTCAGCTTGATCAGCTCCGTCTCCTACAACGACAACACAGAGGTGCCGCGCAAGTCTAGGAAACGCACCCCCCGCCAGCGGCCTGGGCCCAAACCTGCCCATCCAGAGGACAGCATGGACGTGTTCGATGCTGACAGCGCAAAGGCCCCTCACTTTGTCCTGTCCCAGCTGGGCACAGACAAAACCAGTCCCAGGTGGGATGACCCTTGCCCAATGCCCATTCTGTCCGCATGTTAACTCAGAGCTCCCATGTCCCTCTTTTGGAATACAGTTAAGGTCATTTAGTTTTGTTCTGTCTGGGATAATATCATTTCTTGGAGTCTTATTAATGTTATGTTATTTTTTGTTGCCTTGCAGCTCTCTTGAGTCAGGAACTGCAGTGAAGGGTGGGTCACTGTCTACTCAGTACCCCCAGAGGAGTGATGGGAAGGAGCTGAAGATCCTGGTGCAGCCAGAGACCCAGCACAGAGCTCGCTATCTGACCGAGGGCAGCAGAGGTTCTGTCAAAGACCGCACTCAGCAGGGATTCCCCACTGTCAAGGTGCAAAGAAGGCCACAGGAAACATCTTAACACCTATGTAGGAAGTGACTGAATAAGGCCAAAACTACACAGGACACAGTAGAAATCTCATGCCTGTTCAAACGCATCAGAAACATTAGCTAACTAACTAATACATTACATTGCATTTAGCTGACGCTTTTATCCAAAGCGACGCATTAGCACATTTTTGTTTCGAGCTATTAAGATTTATTATGCATTCTGTATTCTGGGTGGTACATAATTATCTTACAAATCAACACCAGACCTAATTTTCTGATGGCTAATAACTTTAAACTAGATCATACTGTGGTGACTTTAGCTCTTACTTATGAATCTCTGCAGGAAAGTGCCCTTTATTCATCAATAAGGCACTTAACCCTCGACAGCTCCACTGGGGCTGCTTAGTGTCCCGCAGATTAAGCTGGCTGTGTTGAGCAGCGGTGGGATGTAGCAGCTCCAAAACTTAAATAATGTATCGGATGCACATTTGGAAAGGGCAAATAGAAACAAAACCCAGACATTGGCACTAAAGGGTTTTCTTTTTTTATCATGGGCGCAAAACAAAAACTTTTCAGTAGAAGCCAAATACTTGTAAATATGTAAATACTTGTTTACACTATATTTAGAGATCAAGGCTGTGATGATCATGTGGTTAGGAACATTATGAATGAAATGATAATGCTAGATAGAAACAACCCATAAACCCCTCTATGTGAGGGACTCAAAAATGGTGTTGGCTGCCACTTTATCTCTAATATCATATGACATTAAGATGTGTGTTACACTTTATTTATGGCTGATTGTTATAAACCTCCTGGGCCATGGGAATTTCCCATGTTTGACCTGTGCACAGTGTAACACTAGGATTAACATCCCCACCCTGTTAAAAAGTTCTACATCAAGATGGGATCTCTTGCAGAACCAAATATCAAGTCTATCTCTTTAAATGTCCTGAGGCTTATTATGTCTTCCTGCTTGAACACATAATAAACAAGAAGATATCTGCGAGTGCCAGTGTTTTGAGGGTCAATTAACAGTTTTACACACAATCTCTTTTGCTTTGTCCCCAGTTGGAAGGTGTGAATGAACCAGTTGTGCTACAGGTGTTTGTAGCAAATGATGCCGGCAGAGTGAAGCCTCACGGTTTCTACCAGGCATGCAGAGTAACAGGGCGCAACACCACTGCCTGCAAGGAGGTGGACATTGAAGGCACCACTGTTATCGAGATCCCTCTGGAGCCCAGCAGTGATATGACACTCGCGTAAGGGGGAATATTTTGTGGAAAAGTATCCGATAATACTTCACAGTGTTAATATTTGAGAAGTTCCTTGCGTGCTTCTCATGTGTTCTTCAACCCGTGGTGTTTCTGCAGGGTGGACCGTGTAGGAATTTTGAAGTTGCGTAATGCAGACGTGGAGGCCCGTATCGGTGTGGCAGGGTCCAAGAAGAAGAGTACACGAGCCAGGCTGGCGTTCAGAGTCAACATCCCCCAACCTGATGGATCCATCCTTACTCTACAGGTCACCTCTTCACCCATCCTCTGCAGTGAGTAGTGAAAGTACAATAAGGAATACAAAATGATCTCCTAAAAGCAACTCTTATCATTAGTCTGAAGCCAAAAATATAGGAACCACCAACAGGCTTCATAAGGTTAATTCAAAATAATGATTTGATGTGTTAAGCTTATGGACATGGAAACATTGTTCTCCTCAGATCATAGAGAACTGTCTGTCATTTCTTTTTCTTCAATCTTCCATATGCTTTTTCTCAAACACTAGCTAATATGTCATGTCAGTTTTAATGATCAAACACTTCTGTCATTCTCCAGCCCAACCAGCAGGAGTGCCAGAGATCCTGAAGAAGAGTCTTCACAGCTGCTCAGCGAGAGGAGGAGATGAAGTCTTTATCATCGGAAAGAACTTCCTCAAAGGAACCAAAGTTATTTTTCAGGAGAATATTGCAGGTGCTGAAGCAAACTGGTTGTTCTATTTGTATCTCTCATCTCTATGGATATTTTTCTGAACATTAAACCTCTGATGGGCGTTACAAAAAACATATTTTTGTTTGTATTTGCAGATGATAATTCCTGGCAAGCTGAGGCTAAGATTGACATGGACCTTTTCCACCAGGTAAATGAAGCTAAATGACATTATACTCTGATGCTCACATTGACCATCATGCATAAGATTTGACTTCAAAGGTGATTGTTCTCATTGATATCTTGTGTTTTCAGAACCATTTGATAGTGACAGTCCCTCCGTTCCAAAACCAGTCAATCGCTTCTCCCGTTTCTGTGGGAATCTACGTGATGACCAATGCTGGTAGATCACATGAGGCCCAGCCCTTCACCTACACTCCAGACTCAGGTACAGCCACTCGCTCAAGCTTATCCTAGTCCTATTTTGAAGATGATGTGAGCATTGTATTATACTGTTTGAACCTAAAGTTACCTGTATTGGTCGTATAAATCATTGTATGAATAAAAGTTACAGCAAATATGTTTCTGTGAGAGGTTGCAAGCATTCATTAATGAGAAACTAATATCTATCCTGTGTTTCCTCCATCACCCACAGCTGATAACTCAGAAGTCCGGACAATAAAAACAGAGGGACCCTCTCTAGTCAGCACGTGTATATTTGATTGCCAGATCAAATCTATATCTTCTGAGCAAACTGACAGCTCTGCTCCTCCTTCCAAACGGCAAGAGGACACACCAATGGAAGTGTCTAGCAATCCAACTCCCACAGATGTCTTTAAGGTAAAGTACAATTCATTCTCAAGAAAGCATGACCAAAATATCTACTTCAGAATTACAGACGGTAATATATTTTGTCCCCTCTTTTTCCTTAGCCATCCCCTGACCCTCTTGTCGTGGTGCAGCAGACACTGGAGCTCAGCTCTAACCCTCATCCAGGTGGAGAGTCCTTTCAGAGCCCAATGCCCCTACAACCTGAAGACGTGGAGCTCTCCCAGGTGCCCCCTGTCTTTCCTAGCCTTGAGTCTCTCAGCCCCATACAGAAGCAAGACATTACCCCCACAACCTCGTTCCCAGTGCAGGGCGATACCACAATCCCCCCTGTAACACCAGAAGTCCCTCAGCAATTTCTCAGAGATCCTCAGGACAGCGTACCTCCTGAGAGTTCCAATAGTAGCGGCGGGGTCCTAGTCTTGGCCATGTCCCAGATAGCGACTCCCTCTCAGCCCCAGCAGTCACAGGTACCCCTATTCCCCCAGGATGGGGTGACCCAGCTGGAGAGGGCAGTAAGGGAGCTACAGGCGGGAGGAAACACCACCTTCCAGCAAGTGTTGGAGGCGGCTGTAGCCCAGCAGCAGCTCAACTCTGTGCTGTACAGCCCCACCCCCTCTGCAGACACCCTCCAGCAGCACGTCCAGGAGAACATGAATAGCCTTAGATTGGGAAACACAGATAATACACTATCAACACAGCTACAAATACAACAGCAACAGCAGATGCAACAACAACAGCAGATGCAACAACAACAGCAGATGCAACAACAACAACAGATGCAACAGCAACAACAGATGCAACAGCAACAACAGATACAACAGCAGATGCAACAACAACAAATACAGCAACAGTTTCAACAGCATCCACACCTGCAGCAACATCAAATCCTTGGTACCCTTCAGCAGCAAGGTCTTAGTAACATGCAGATCCAACAACAGCTTCTATTACAGCCACAAGAGCAGCAGCACATTATAGACAATATTCAGCAGCAGCAACATCTGCAGCAGAATCAGCAACAGCAAGTCCTCAACAGCATCCAACTTCAGGATCAGCAACAACAAAATCAAATACTTACCAATTTACAGCAACATCAGCTACAGCAGCAGCAGCAACAACAACAACAACAACAAAATCAAGCGTTGAGCAACTTGCAACAACAACTGCAGGAGCAGCAGGTGTTGGAGAATTTACAGCAGCACCTTCAGGCGGAGTTGCTTCAGCCCCAAATCCACTCCGCTCCCCAGGTCCAGCAGCCAGTGTCCCTGCTTCAACAGACTGGAGAGCTGCTCACCATTCAGACCAGCTTCCCAACACAGTCCCCCTCCCACACGTCTCCCCCACAGCAGCTCTTTCAATCGCCGCGGCCCCTCGCTGAGACCCAGAGCTCCCAACAGCAGGTCCAGGCTGCCCTGCTCCAGAACACACTGACAGTTCTGACCAGTGGCAGTCTCAGCTCAGTGCAGCAGCCTACAGGGTCAACTTTGTACCTGTCTCCAAACCCTCAGCCCCAACAACAGCAACCACAGCTGACATTCATCTCCTCCATGGAGACCTCCAACAGCCAGCCCCAGTCTGTCGCAATGTTTCAGAACCAACCCCAAGCTCAGCTTTCCCAGATGCAGCAGCAGAGCACCCCAATGGAGCAGCAGCAGTCTCCACAGCAGAACCAACAACAGCAACCGCAGCTTCCAATGGGCCAGCAGGGCTCCCTGTTCCAGAGTATCCAGAACCACTCCCAGCCTAACACCGTCCCTCAGAGCCAGCTGTCCCAACCCCAGCAGGCCGGTCTCTTGCTCTGCACCACAGATCTTAGCCCCCAGGCTATTCCCCCAACTATTCTCTTCAGCACCCAGACACAAAGCCCTTCCCAGATGGGGAGCATTAGCGTTGGAATCCAGCTGCCTGACCCAGCAGAGCCCATGTCCTTCCAGGACCAGAGCTCCTCAGGCGGAGGAAACGTGTCCTCCGCTGAGAACCGGCAGCAAAGCCTGTTCCAGGAACAGCAGCCAATGCAAGTGGGACTAAGTTCCAGCAGCGTGCAGAGCAGTCAGCCTGTGGAGCTGTTCCTGCCTCAGACCTCTCTGTCCAGCCTGCAGAGCTCTATTGGCTCACAGGAGCTGAACAACCAGACTCCATCCCCTGGCACAACCATCTTTGTGGTCCAGGGCAGTGTGGGGGTGGTAGCCAGCCCTGGCCAGCAGCCCCCGGAGCAGCTTTTCCAGACAACAGTGGGTGGAAATGTGGCTCCACAAGGACAGGCCAACCTGTTTGTGTTTGGCATCCAGAATGGTAAATCTCCATTTTTAGTACAGTAAATCCAAGCTAAATGTAAGTCTTGCCAAAGCCTTTACCTGCTGTTTGGTTATAAGGATTATTTCCATTCTCTCTTCCTCCTAGACTCGCCCCAGCTGCTCAGTTCCTCCGGACCCACCCTCGCTGCTCAGGGCCCACCTCAGAGCTCCAGTCACATGCAGCCTCTGTTGGACCAGCCAATGGGACAAGCTGCCTCCACCATGCCACCTAACATGCATGGCAGCTTACAGAGCACCCTTCAGGCCCAAATGCAGTCAAGCTTAGAGAGCGCCATGCAGACAAACACACAAACAACTCTGCAGTCCAGTTTACAGGCAACCATAGAGACAAGCCTGCCGACTCCAATGCAGACCAATCTACAGACACAGAGTAGCTTACAGAATCAATTGCAGGCTTCAATATCTGCATCGTCTAACATGGATAAATTTGAGGACATACTGGAAAGCCTACAAAAGCAGTGAAAAGTGTTTAAACATCCCTACATTGACCAGAGTGCGTGGTCTATGGTGTTTTGTGCAAATGCCACAACATTTAGAAAACAATTAGATATTTAATAATGAAATGCCCCTTTACCTAAAACCTCAATTATACGCTCTTGCAATTATTTGTATTGAATATTTATAATTATTAGAGCCTTCATACATCCATCGTCCTTGAATCAAAGAATCCGCCTTTGTTATTACTCCTCTTGCAGGATCAGAGAGGCCTGTAATAACTGCTTTATCCATCAGTCTCAGAAATGCAGTGTTTTGTTGTTAGTGTTTTTAATAATATGAGTCTATGAGATGATGATAAAAAACCTACCAGGTTTGGTGGAGAAACTGGAAAGGGATAAAGAATGTCAGCAACAGGGAAACGGGAATAGTATTGTCAGAGTAGGCGGAGCAGATTAAAACAGCCAGCGATGAAGTGAATATCAGATTGTGTCAGATATAAACTGAATCTCATTTTGTGAGTGTAAAGACTTCAAGCTCAATATGAGGGGAAGAGATGTGTTTTTGTCTGTTCATCATGTGAATATCATTTACCTGGCATAACAACAGGGATGAAATATTGTCGCCACTCAATTTAATCTAATGACATGACAGGATATTTTGCAGTTAATTAGACCCTGGTTTTGCACATGTCATCAATTTGACTACTCTAAGAGTAGAGACTGACAAATTAAGTACATTTGTAGAATGTTTGCCTCCATAATATGTGCTGCACATGAGCAGACTCTAGTAGAAGAGAGTTTGAGCATTGATCGACTCCACAAAAAATAACTCGCTCACCAAAATGGTGATCAGTCAATACATTCTGGTATTGTAGGGGGTTCCCCCAAAAAATAAGAGGGCCTATCAAACACACTCAAATGAGATTCAGCCTTGTGATAACTGTGACTTGGCTTTTGGTTCTGGCACCTCCCAGTGTTTTCATAGGTCAAGGTGTCAATACTGGGCTTGCAGAAGCTTTTTGGTCAAATTTTAAGAAGCATTCAACTATGTAGTGTGTGTATATATTTTTTGTTTTGAAAAATTGGTAACTTTTACCAATTTAATGTGGATAGAAAGAAACGTTCCACTTGTGAAAATGGAGTGTTGTGTGGTTTTATAAACATTTTATCTCAAGCACTTTATAACCTCTAGATAATCCTTATATTCGTCCACAGCTCTCTACTGACCCAGCTGAATTTGTACTCGGAACTATCCAGTTAAAAAAACGAAAAAAGTAACACAGCCGTTGTCTTTGTAAAGGTAAATACATCTTAATCAAGCATTTTTACATTATTTTTTAGGTCTATGACAACTTTGTATAGGATGTCTACTCACTGTTGAATTCCTCTTTGTATTCAGTCTCAGTGGTCCAGTCTAAACAAACAGCCATTCCCACAAAAGCATTGTCAATTTTCAGTGTTGGGAGTGGTAAGTAGGCCTTTGTGTTTTACACACTGACACAACACCCTAAAATACTGATTTGTTTTAGTTAGTCCATGAAATGAAGGAGTTTTCATCGTATTGTTATTTGTACTATTTACTGTCCAATCTGTCACTTGAGACTGTTTTACCTTGTGTTGTGTTAGATATTTAAGTTTTCGTCTCAGTGGTACCGTGTGAAGTTGGCATCCAGTGCCCGTCCCATGTGTTGTGAACAGGGGCTCACTGGTAAATGAAATCTCTGTTACATAGAGGCCGCCATTTTGATCTATGGTGCTATGTGCAGGAATGGTGGGCACTTCTGATGTGATGTTAGTACATAACAGTTTATACTTATCTCTATAGCACTGACAATAATTGTTAGTTTTGAAGCGGCGTTGAGTCTAGAGCTGGCTGTTGTTGTGGGGTCAGACTGGAGCGCACCCAGGCATACCAAAGCTCCTGTTGTGAATCATCTTGTCTCATTCATGTCCTTGCAAATGCTATCATAATGTTTACTCATTCGTACTTACTCATTTAAGTTATGCAGCTCTTACATGGATAGTAATTCAGCATGTTTTTGAGTGCAAGAGTTATAAAAGATACGTAAAGGTACTTTGTGTCATGGATCAGTTTTCCTCTAAACATTTCCACCAATTTGATACATTACTCTATTTTTTGATGCAAAATATAACGGCTGTACTTTCCATATCTATAAAAGTGGCCAATTTTGGCATTATCAAAAAGACAATTTTTGAGAATAATTCAAATGTTAGAATAGTGTTGCTCACATATGCATTTGTTTACATTTTCATAGTCATACTATTTTTTCCTGCAGTTGTTCGTGATCCGTTTTAAAGTAACTTATCTTTTTTAGAATTTTGTATCCATGTATCAAAAATGCAGAGTATTTTTGTAAAACTAAACTTTTTGGTTTATGCTCATAGCACAGAATATATCATTGCTGGTATGTTTTCCTGAAATGAAGCGCAGGTTTATTGTGAAGTGTGTGACTGATATTAGTAATGTAATTAAGTGGACATCAAGCAAATATGTTGGAACTTAATTATACTGTTTATAAAAATGACTTTACCCAACCTGTATAACATAATACATGGGCTAGGTTTTTCTTGTGTGTGTTTGTTTTTTATGTCATGCATCTCAAATGGCACTTTGACTCATCCATTAACTGTAGATCAGGTTAGAGCGCAGTAGTGATGTTTCCAAGCATTCCAGTCCTCTTGGGGAGTTTAAGAGCACATGATGTTGCGGAAGAAGTGCGGAAAAGTAATGCCTCTTAAAGCCATACCAACACAGAAAGCCAACCTGTGACTTCAGTTTCATGAATGTACATTTTACCTCATGGTGTGGACATAGAGCTTGCTCTACTTCTAACATCGGACCAATTACAGTTTTAAAGAACATATATTTTGAGGGTGGGGGTGGCACCAACTGTCATTTGTATCACCGTACATTTTGTCAGATTGTTTAGTCTTGGATTGTGGTGTAATTTCATGTTTTTTCACGTCCAGTTTCATTTTGAGCAATCCAGGATGCTCAGTCTGACTCTTCGAATAGCCACGTCCACCTGAAAAAAACCATGTGAAACATTAATTTAAAAGGTGGTGAAGATAGCACACAAATCTTTACAAAATATCAGTTTTGTCCTTCAGTCATGTAATGAATATCCATGTATATTTAAATGTAAAATATACTGCAGGGGTATCTTGAATTTCAATTGTGATGCTTTCAACAGAACTTTGTGTGCCTTGATAACTTAACTGTTACTCTGCTGTGTTTACTGGTGTCCCTTTCGTGTCATAGCTATTTGGCTCCTTGTCCTTTTTATTCTCTAGGACTGTTGAACATCAAGACACCTTTTTGTGATTGAGTCTTTATTTCTAAACACAAGCATTACCATAGCCCATACAGATATATTTTATTTGTACAACATCGTGCAGCTTCACCAGTGAATTGTCAACTTGTTACTTTCTGTTGAAAATGTTTTTCATGCCTCATGAGATTTGTACATGTGAGGTAAAAGGGACGAGACCGTGGAGATTGTTTTATGGAGAGCTATCTTGTGTTGATGTGCTTGTCAACATTACTATTGTTGCTGTGAACTGCTTGATCAAAAGGAGCAACCATGATAAATTAACTGTTAATTGCCAATAGTGTGAGCTGTATCTTGTGTGTACTCAGTTAGCTCACTTTTCCTAGTTCGCTTTCTATTTCACATTCTCCAACAGTTTTGTTGTATCCGTTCTGTGTAGCTTGAGCTTTAGTATCTAGCCTTAAGACCCCGCAGTCGGGATAAAGGTCAACCCCAGTGTGTTATCATACATCTGAACTATTATTAACATGTAATTTGCCTTGGTCTGGACATTTGTATACTCTTCTGTTTATATCTGTAATCCTGCTGCTACATTAAAAGAATTAATAAAAATTAAAACGTATTTGTGTTTTCGTTTTTTTCCCCTCATAAGTGAATAGCTCTGAAAGTTTTATATATTAATCTTCTCAAGCAAATATTGCACATTACTAAATGTACACATGTATTCTTATCTTCACAAGGCTATACATGAAGGAACAACAATTATAAAACACTGGCTTCAGGCATTTGTATCGGCACAAATGCATTACAAGCATTAAGACACAGCTGGTCATAGTTTACTCGTTCTTCTGTGTAGAACCTGTTGGAAGAAGGATATTGGATCTTCTGGGTCAAAAGCAACATGAAAGTCAGGTTTTTTCTTGAGAGCCAGGGCAGCGACCAGTATGGCAAACATGGCAGTGAGGCCCCATATGTGATACTGGCTTCCTGAATCAGGGTCCACAAAATGAAAAGAGTGCATTATCCCCATTGTCCCGGCAACACCATGGGTGGCATAGTGGTCCTTGTCGCTGGTGAAGGGGGACAGTGAACACAGCACTGACCTCAGCTGGGTTTGGACAGGGACGAAATGACTCGTCTATGAAGCCAACCACCGGGGTCACCAACAAACCGCTCTGTTAAAAGAGATGAAAATAGAGGTGGGAGGGGGACATGTGAAATAGATGGACCAAAAGCAGCTGATGCGTTTGAAGCAAGCGGCTAACTCTTGGGCAGAGCCGGGAGGCCAATAAGGAAGTGCCTCAAACTGCAGTCCATCTAGTGGCCAGTAGGAGCAATTTCCATAGACCCCCATGTTAAAATGACCAACTTTACAGCAGAAATAAACATGTTTACAGTACATCGTGGTTAAAAAAACCATATTCTCTGAATAGTTAGATTCCTCCTTTATGACAACTGTGTGGGGGGTGCATTGTTTTATAACACAACCCTTTTAGTTATATTATGTCTTAAAGTTTTTTAAGATCTGCTCATCTCATCGAAATAATATGCTACACAGGGGCGGACTGGCCTGTGTGTTCTGGAGAATCACAGAACGGACGATCGTCCTTATTATTATGTCGTTTAAACCAAATATTCAAATGTGTTTGTTGAATTCGGCATCATGTAAGTTGCGCTGACAGGTCCACACACTGCTTCCCCGCAGCAAGGCTCCCCCCCCCGTGCTCCTGTTGCAGTGGCGTTTTTATATGTACAAAAGTGGTGGGGCACAAACAACTTAGATGTCTATAAGCTTCTGCAGTGACGTGCAGTGAGGTTCATGGCTGGTGAGGCACTGACTCTTCAGGTTTACAAATATTATATTTTGACTTAATCAAAATATAATATTATTTTGAAAAGTTTTTTTTGTCTGATGCTTCGATTAATTTTAAACAGACAGTTCAACAAAAGGATACCCAAAAAAATGTATTTTATCATTTACATATTGAATTGTTCTCTCTTAGTAAGATCCCATTTTCAATAAAATGGTGGTCTTACCTTGACTTGAAGATTAAGTCCATTTGCCTATCCCTCTGGACAAAAATCTCTATTAGTTTTTTGTAAAAGTCCTCTTTATCTTCTTGTAGTTTCAAAAGTTGAGTCATAAATCGAATCGATAGATTTATGATTCGAAAATTATAAAAGTAGGGTAGACATGTGGATATTATCCGGCTGAACAAAACGTGTATTTATCTAACAGGTACGTTTCCCACAGATCTTATTTCGAGCTATTTTCTAAAATCCTATGGAGAAATCTCATTGCTTTTTTGTTGCTTTTTTTTGTTTTTATTATACATCCATGGGGGGAAGCCATGCGCAGCTTACTTCCGGGTTTTAGGATGCGTCACTGCACCTCTCTCGTCTCCTCTTCACACACCACACTTTTCGCGGCACAAGTACTTACAGCCAGTGGCGACTGGTCATTAGGGGCAGGTGGGGCACAGCCCCACCTAGTGTCAGTAGAAAGTATTAAAAATAATGATTACAACAAAATGCAAAAAATAAATTAAAAAATATATAAAATATATTTTAAGATCATGTTTAATCATCTGATTCGTCTGTACATTGCTGTTGTAGTCTGTGTTCTTCTAATTAGTGTCTACAGTGTGTGCCTATTGAGCTGTTTGAGCCATGTGGGACAAAACCCGATCCTGCCCCTCCCTCTCTATGTCTAAGTGAACGGTGACTGTAAAAACTACACTGCGCATGCTCAGAATATTTTCCTATTTAATGTGTGTGGCAAAAAAATAATGACCATAGGGGCATTGAGCTGCCATCACCACCATACGTCATCTCACATCATTCAGAGCTGATTGGCTGTAAGTACGTGTGCCGCGAAAAGTGTGGTGTGTGAAGAAGAGACGAGAGAGCTGCAATGAGGCGTCCTAAAACCCGGAAGTAAGCTGCGCATGGCTTCCCTCGACAAAAAAGCAATGATATTTCTCCATAGGATTTTAGAAAATAGCTCCAAATAAGGTCTGTGGGAAACAAACCTGTTAGATAAATGCACGTTTTGTTCAGCCGGATAATATCCACATGTCTACCCTACTTTTATAATTTTCGAATCATAAATCTATTGATTAGATTAGATTTATGATAGACTTTTGAAACTACAAGAACATAAGGAGGACTTTTACAAAAAAGTAATAGAGATTTTTGTCCAGAAGGATAGGCAAATGGACTTAATCTTCAAGTCAAGGTAAGACTGCAATTTTATTGAAAATGGGATCTTACTAAGAGAGAACAATTCAATATTTAAATGATAAAATTACATTTTTTGGGTATCCTTCTGTTGAACTGTCTGTTTAAAATTAATGGAAGCATCAGACAAAAAAAGCTTTTGAAAATAATATTATATTTTGATTTAGGTCAAAATATAATATTTGTAAACCTGAAGAGTCAGAGCCAGTGCCTCACCAGCCATGAACCTCACTGCAGAAGCTTATATATAGACATCTGAGTTTTTTGTGCCCCACCACTTTTGTACATATAAAAACGCCACTGCTTACAGCCAATCAGATCTGAATTATGTGAGATGACGTATGGTGGGGATGGCAGCTCAGTGCCCCTATGGTCATTATTTTTTTGCCACACACATTAAATAGGAAAATACAGCATGCGCAGTGTAGTTTTTACAGTCACCATTCATTTAGACAGTGAGAGGGAGGGGCATGATCGGGTTTTGTCCCACATGGCTCTAAACAGCTCAATAGGCACACACTGTCTGGAGACACTACTTAGAAGAACACAGGCTAAAACAGCAATGTACAGACGAATCAGATGATTAAACATGATCTTAAATTTTATTTATTTTTTCAATTTGCATTTTGTTGTAATCATTATTTGTAATTTGTTTCTGCTCACACTAATGACCAGCCGCCACTGTCCTGTTGACAGTTCGCGAGCGTCGAACTCCTCCCGTCGAACTAAAGAGTTCTCATGAACCTTTGTGTGGAAAGTGCTGCGGTGTGAATGCGCCTAGGGACTGAAAAGGGGGTGAAAATGTTCTCATGAACTAAGTTCTAGTTCAGTTTTTTGTTGGTGTGAACCTATGGTGTGAACGCACATTTTCGGAACTATACTGGGAAAAGTAGGCTACTCCAGTGTGAAAGCGCCTTATGTGCAGAATCCTATGGGTGACGTAACGGACACTACGTCCATTTATACAGTCTATGGTTTGAAGTGGTAATTATTTGCACTGGCCTACCTTATTGATGATAGGGACCAGTCTACAGACCACCTGAACATCTTCAGGTGGGAGACCTATCTCCTCCTCGGCCTCTCTCAGGGCTGTGTCCACATCATCTCTGTCACTGGGGTCTCTCTTCCCACCCGGGAAACACACCTCACCAGCACTGGTCCGCAGCTGCAGACACACAAAAGGACTGTTTTACAGCACTGCATGCATAGCACACAGATTGAATACAAAATTAGACATTCAAACAGGCTTTACCTCTTTACAGGCTACTCTTCTGTTGTGTTTATTTCTCAAAATGTTCTTTGATTTTCAGAAAACTATAAACCAGCTGTTTATTTAACTGGTCCCGACATTTGTATTGTGTTATGCAATGGACTCAATCAGAGACTGTTCAACTGAGGCATAATACTCTTATACATTTAGATCAAAACAGTTGACAGCAGGCTCTCTGAGCTGAGTACACCCACAGTTGACCCTCACTTGTTACCTCTTTTGATCGCAGGGTCATCATGGTGTGCAGCTCTCCATTCTTCACCATCAGTGGGATCAGCACTGAGGCTTTGGGTAGCACCGGTAGAGAAGATAATTTGTTCCCGATGTCAAACTGCTCTAAAATGGCTATGATGTCCTCTTTAACATCCATTATAGCAGCTGTTTCAACGCAGAAACAGAGTGGAGGACAGGGGGGGAAAAAGACTAACGGACAAACTATGTAAAAATACTCGAGTACAGCATGAAACTGCGGGTTGTCAGGTCCAACGGAGTCTAAACAATCAAATATTAACTAGTGTCTGGTAATCAGTAACTATGCAGCATGCAATGAACATGTTAGTTGATCATAAATAAAACTGAGGTCCATTCGTCCCACATATTCTACGTCACACGGTGGACTGATAAGCTAACGATAGCATGAGGAACTGCTAACTAATGTTAGCACTGCTAACTAATGTTAGCAGTGCGTGGTATCTGGGATAACAAATGTAACTAACTAAAATGTCTTTACGGGTAATTTCGTGACTTCCCGTATGTCATTCGACAGGTAAGTCAAATATATCACTTCCGAGACGTTTCATAACAACCAATCGTCACAGTGTGCGACGAACACAGCCAGTTAGCCACAGACATTGTAGTGACGAATTTGACGCCGATTTACATTTGCATCTCAAAAGTAAAAACGAGTCTTATAAATAGGAATTCAAAGAGTATCACATGGATTAAATGAAAATTGAGTGTCATTTTCACTTACACATGGCTGTATAGAAGCCACAGTTAAGTATTTTAACAAATATAACTTCAGGGAAAAGTGAAAAAATACAATCTCAAAACTAAGAATCAAGGTTTCACAAGATTTGTATTGCTGTAAACAGGTCTTCGATGAAAGCATGAATAAAACATAACGTTATAGTAGGCCTACATTCCAAGTCAGTCATATTATGGCATAATGAGGAAATATCTGCATTATAAGTCAAAAAAACATTACAATTAATTGAAGGCTACTTACATTTGACTGACAGCTCACTTAACATAAAGCAGTAATTAGCCTGAGACTTGTGACTTGAACAAATAAATTATATTCTTCTTTCTATCTCAAAGATAAGACAGCAGGCAGTCTATACACATGTAAATAAATAAATTAAAATGTAACAACTAAAATGTGTGTAGTAACTGATCCCATGTATTTTAATTAAGGGAGAAAAAAAGTTCTAAGTTATTTACAACCCACATGTCACATTTTGTGGATTTGTATGTAGAAAAATAAATAAGTTTCAAAACACAGCAAAGCTAATGATGGGCATCACAGTGGTCCTAGTCTTCATTGATATCAGCCATCGCCTCTCCAGCACTTCTGCTCACACTTTGTACTTCTCCTTGGCTTGATCATTCAGTATACAGATGTGCTGTGAACGGGTAAAATAAATCAGTGGACAGTGCATGTTTTTTCATTACATTCTCTGTACAGAAATCACCTCTGGCTGGCAGAGAACTCTCTGCTCCATAGTTTCTCTTGGAATAAAACCACATTGTACATTTATATAATCTGTTCTATATTTAATATTCCACTTGTCATATATTTATGTATATCTACATAATACCTTGTTAATTCAACATGTATATTTTCTAGTCTTTGAATTTGTATTGTACAATGCCATGTCTTTTTTATGCTGCTACAATGCAAACATTTCCCAAATTGGGATCAATAAAGTACTATCTTATAGTTCATTATTTGGGTTTTTATTTATTTTTTAAAATTTGACTTTTTGTGCAGTTGCTAGATACAAGTGAGGGCACGTCCTGTTTAATTTGTACTTCTTGAAATGTACTTTTTAAGATTTAAGATTTAAAAAATAATAATGATAAAGTGTTTGGTATCACTCCATCACAATACATTAAAAACATGCTTGATTTGAGCCAGCTGATAATGGAAACTATTCTTTCAACAAAACAGTTAACTAGTTTTGCATTTTGAAACTGCAAATATATTATACTATGAGAATCAGTGAACAACTGTATACGATTAAATGATAACATAGCATGGGTTATCTGTCCTCATACCCCTTCTAAAATCATCTACACCAGCAAACTTACACTGAGATCTCTGAAGTACTCATTGTAGTCCAAAGCATAGCCCACCAGAAAGGAATCTGGCACCTCAAAACCAATATCTGAAATAAAAATACAGACCATTACTACCACTGTGAGGCACATAAAAAAAACTGCTTATTTCAAGTGTAGTGGAAGTTAAACTCTTTCAACTCTACTCGCTGATCAAAAATGAGATGTGGAAACATTTACTGTGGTCTGAAACTCTGTGGCGAACTAATAGATGTTGCTCTTTTAATGTCTCTTTGAGGTTGTACTTAAGCTGTCACAGCTAGTGGGAAGTCAAAATGCTTACAGTAACAGCTGTTCTTAAGGGACAATCTTAAGGGGATTATACAACACAGACCTAAAAGCATTACATAATCAGAGACGGTGTGAGCACAGGGGGTTATCAGGAATGCATTAGTGCATACGTGCCAGGCTCGGCTACATTTGGAGTACATTTTCCAGAAATAACTGTTTATCCTGCATGGAAAAAACACAGTTTGATTAAATAACACTTCTCTAGCCCTTCCAACAAACAAACAAACATACAGCTCTGAAAAAAATTAAGAGACCACTGCAAAATTATCAGTTTCTCTGGTTTTACTATTTCTAGGTATGTGTCTTGATTTTTGAGCTGTTCATGTGAGCATAGCATGATCACTGCCATACAATACTAAAATCCATAGATAACTTGGTGCAAAGCGAGGCACTCACAGTCTGGTCTGTACCCTGAACTCCTCGGGGTCCTCTTCACCAGAAGGCTACAATTACAAACAAGGAAAATACAGGATATAAAAAACAAAGGCCTATCATGTTACATAAACAAGGTTCAGACTAGTCTCAGAAATAGCCATTTACTGTATTTTCACATAGACTTTAAGCTTTTGAAATATAATCCTACAATTATTTTAGCACCACAATTACAATTTCATTCAGCGCTGTTGTTTTAGTGTGGCAGCAGAAATGTGAGCAGGAGACGTAGCAAAGCCTCAGCAGGAAGAGGAACTATCTGCATGGCGTGATATCACAATGACTAAGTAGAATAATCGTTTTTTTCAGTGTTTGAACTGAGTAAACTTGTATTCATAGTTCAGATAATAACTGTTATTCAGCAGCATATTTGCTAAGTATAATTATAGGGTGAACATCAAATCAATTTAAATGAGCCTACCCATACACAGTAGATCAAACAACTATCTTTACTAACTTAATCTCTTTAATTTTTTGTAAAGCACTTTGAATTGCCTTGTGTTGAAAAGTGCTATAGAAATAAACTTGCCTTGCCTTGCCTTGCCTTATGCAAGCATCATAGGAAACCCACATTACTTCAACACATTTCCTGTTTCAACCAGCTGTTGGAAATACATCAGAGAAATGGCCTCTACCTCCACAGTGCAGTTAAATTAGTGCGACAGATTAACTCTTAAGCTGCTCCCTCCCTCCGTCACATTACATCTCTAATGCAGTCCTAAAGGAGAGTGTCCATTAGCTAAGAGCACTGTCTCTATAGACATGTGACAGTGCAGGTATACAACTTGGTCTGTAAAGTGTCTAACGGTGCCTACCTTACAACTTTAACCATCTTGGGATTGCATTCACTCAGCAGGGAGAGTAGCGTCTGCATGGTTCTTCCTGTCTCCACGATATCCTTTTATAAAGCAGGACACAGTAATTGGTTACATTAAGGTGGAGGCAAACACACACAACAAATCCTCAGAATAGAGCCTCAATACAGAATAAAGAAGAAAAGGTCTTACCTCGACAATCAAAACGTTCTGTGGGGGAAAAAGGACAGTAGATAAGGTATACAATTATATAACGTGTGCAGTTGAGGTATTTCTGCCTGAAAAATAAACAGTAGACCAACCTTGCCTGAGAGACTGGACAGCTCATCCCCTCCTATGACTTTGACACTGTTTGTTGACTTGTCGTTCTGGGGAATACAAAGCAAAAACAACATTATCCATCTCAGTGAGTTTACAGATCCAATCCTTGTTACATAAAAAGGCTGAACAATTCATCTTAATTAGGTTGACATTATTGTGGTGCTCCAGAAATGTCACTTATTGTATTCTACAGGGGAAAAATATATATATTTGATACAGATTCAGACATTTACAAATGTGATCATTGTAATTTGAGAGGGATGATAAAAAATGATCATTCCCTCCAATATAGTGAATTATATCACAAACGCTTTGAATACTGCAGAGGAGATTGTTCTCATTTGTAACTCCGTATCGCACACCTCACATCATCAGAATTGGTTCTTGGTCATTAAATGAGCAGAGGCAGCTTACACAGTAACTCTTCACCCTGATGAAATCCACTGTCAAGGGGACTGATTTATCGCTGTTCTGGTTCAGGGCTTTGATGTAGTCCAGCAGGTCTGCGAAGAACTTGTATCCTCCTTTTAGCACACACAGAGCTACGATGTGATGTCCCCCCATGTCCTGGATAATATCCCGGGCTAGACGCTCTGTCCTGGGTGGAGTAGGTGGTAAACACAATAGAGTAAAGTCAGGGAGGGAGAGGAGGAAACAGTAAATACAAATTCAATGGTGACTGCAGTACAGTATTGGCCATGGGGATATGCCTTACATGAAATTGCACTTAAACCTAATTGCCTACAATGCATTTCACAGCACTGCACTGGATTCAACCCCCACCTCCCAAATCCACATTCAAATGAGCTTCAGGATGTGGGCTAATGATTTGTCAAACAAATACAGTAAAGTGTACAAACCAGTATGTGTGTGTGTGTCAGAGAGTCTGATGACTTGACAGAAATATGACTTGTTTTCATTGTATGGGGGATTTACCTGTCCATGATGAGTCCATGGGGGATGATCACCTTTTCCAAATCGTTCTCATAATGTCTGGGGACGCAGAAATGTTCCAGATCATAGCCTTTCTCATCATCAGCGATCTGGAAGAGGAAGAAGCAGCCTCTTCAACAAAAACTGTTGGCACTGACAGATAACGTTTGATCACAGTGAAGCCTCTCGGCCACCTGTTTATCCCCGCACAGCACACACATGACTTACAATTTATGAGACATCAGACGCTCATGTGACGGAGCGAAATACTTAAATAATGATAGCAAAGCTAATGCCACCTGCCGTCTATCAAACAGGCCTACGGTGCAGAACCACACCCTGACAATTAACAAGTTATCAAACAAACAAACACCCCAAACCCAGCAGCCTCACCTCCAGGAACGAAGCCATGTTGCCGTGTTGTTCAGTCGCAGTGAAATGTGCGAGAAGTCATGCTCAGGCCCTGAGAGGGAGGGAGGGAGGGAGGAGGGTTTATGTACTGGAGGAGGCACGAGCTGCTCTGCTCCTCACCGACTGCTGCTGACCGTGCGCGAGCAGCACGCGGTGTCTCTCTGCCGGGGGGTTAAACCCGTTACGTCACAATCCAGTTTACCTTCCGAACAATCTTATTTGCCAGACACAACCTGGGTTTACAATGCGCTATACTGGTCACCACTACAGCTGCTGCATGTCTGGGTAACTGTGGCAGCAGAGAGCTGTTTGGAGAAGGTACAGATGACGCAGTTTTAAAAATATACCTGATGACAGATCCGCCTCCTCACTAAAAGCACTGCTCTCTCTGCAGCTGTGCTCTGCAGTATGTTTACTGTACTGCGTATATACCTTCCTATACAGTGTAACCAGAATACACCAATAAACCTACCCCCTATTATATAACAATTCATTAAACTACCTATAAATATTAATATCGGCTATATATTCTTTTTTGTTGTGCTTCCTTTTATTATGGTGTACTACATAGTTGATGAAAGCCATTGCCCATTAGTTTAAGAGCTGTATTCCTATTAATAGGCTCCGTTCAATGCAGCTTTTTAATATAACTAAATTACTTCTAATAATAATCTACAATTTGTCAATCAATTGGTTAATACTGCCATGGGGAACACATACACACACCACCTTTGTTCACTGCTATTTTTGTTATAAATGGCCCTCTCTCCAAAACTCCAGGTTCAACTAAATCTGCTGGTACATCTGCCTACAGGCATGTTTTATTATACAACAATTAACCAATTGTTTTTGTTTTGAGAAAAACAGAAAAAAAGATGTCAAACTGCCAAAAAAAAACACTCATTTTAATATGATCCCAATTTAATGAGTTATACAGAAACAAAACATTTTTTCCATCTTACAAAAAAAGCAATCCCAGGTGTTATATAAGATCAAGGTCATGGAAACTATGAAAACAGAATAAACATGTTCTCATAGTTCAGAACACCAAAGACGCAAACATCATCATCTCTGTACGATAATAACAGTCTTTATGAGTGCCACTTGTGAGCGCGAGGTCAAATCTCAAATGACACCATTCCCCATATAGAGTCCTACTTTTAGCCTGAGACCCAAATACAGAGCTGTGACTGTGGGCAGAAAGTAGAGCACATCCAGGTGAAGGCGGCATGATTTGAGAGGAGACCGTAACAAGGAGAACACTCATTTCTTCTTCTTCTCATCTTTCTTGCCAGCATCAGCCTTCTCCTTCTCCTTGTCTTTGTCCTTATCATCCTTTTTCTCTTTGTCCTCTTTCTTCTCTTTCTTGCCTTCCTCCTTCTCCTGTCCTTCTTTCTTTTCTGCGTCTCGGTTGGAAATCTTGTTGTTGATCAGGTTGTGAAGAGCCACCACTGAGCGTATGAGCGAGGCCAGGTAGACCACCAGCATCTGGTCGTTGGTCTTAAGGTAGAAGGCTTTAGTGAACTCCTGCAAAGACAGAAACATGATTTTAAGCATCACAAAACGTTGTCTGAAGCATGACAACAACCCATATCATTTTCATATGATATGACATGAACAATAATCTGTGGCTAAATAATATTTAATAAGATTGGCAGCTTTTTTATGATGCAATTTTACAAAAGCATACAAACATTTTTCCCAAAAAAGGGTTAAAGAGTGTTAAAACACAAATCTGGATACATATTTAGATATGAAACAAGCAGGTATTTTTGAACTACTACATGAAGTGTACTAGAGCACTGTCTGCTCTTTAAATCTGACCAAGTCTGCCCTCCAGTGGATAAATGAGAAGCTGCTGCTCAGTTAGAGATGTAAGCCAATAGGCTACTTTGGTTTTCTTACCTACATCTCTATGGTTCAGTGAATTCTTTCCAAATGCTGTTGTTTTTATAACAATGTTTTAATTCAACTTATAACAATGAGTAATTGCTGCAGTTTAAATTCAGTGTAAAAACCCAGCTCTCCCATTTGCACATAATGAGAAAAACGAAATAAGATATTGCCTACATTTAAGAGAAAGTACTAACATTAAAAAGACACCAATTTTCCTTTAATGATTACTGTACATAGATACAAATCAATTGCCCCTCATATACAAACAACTTACCAGTAGATTAACGTCTGGCAGCAGGTTGAAGACATCCTGCAGCTGATAGATGATCTGGTGGTTGATGGGAAGTTTTCCTGCCGTCACTCTCTCCAGGTAAGAGCGGATTTCCAACAGCTTGGAGTTGAGTCCCTTCAGGCCATGAACCTGATTAGTAATGCGTTGCGACAGGGTGCCCACAGTGGTATCCTTGATATCTCTGTATAGGGTATAAGATGAGACAGGGGTGTCAAACTCAAATACAAAGTGGGCCAAAATTAAAAGATCGGTAGAAGTCGAGGGCCGGACTGGTTCAATGTTTATTGCAAAACTTACTGAAATGAACTTATTGCACATATTAAACCTGGAACTAACAAAGCTGAAATTATTGCCTATAATACAACAACAACTAAATAATTAGTTGCATTAATTTCTTATGGCTCCATCTGCAGCTTTTCGGAGACATTTCTTATGATTACATTTCTCCACAGGCCAACAACAGCTTCAAAAAAACTATTTCCCTCAAAGAAAAAACCAAACATGTCCTGTTGTCGCAAGAAACAAAGTGCAGAAGGAAACATCCATTGAAACTCAGTTTGCTGCTCTGTGATGCTAGTTCAAGCCAGATACTTGGCATCTCATCTTGGGTGCAAGTTCATCAATGTTTGGGCTCAGGAAATCCTCAGGGTTGAGCGAAGGTGTGCGTGCAATATACCGGCGGGCCAGATCTAATAGTAATTAAAAATTATCCTGCGGGCCGAAATTAAATCCACCAAGGGCCTGATTTGGATCCCCGGGCCTCGAGTTTGACACATGTGAGATGAGAAGTGAATGGGTGTGAAATTAAATGGCTTAACATGGTTTGCAAGTAGTCTTTATCTGTTGATCATTTCCATCTAAATGTATTAGCACTTTTGTTGATTTTATTAAATAATAAGCACAGTTGTATCTTTTATACACCGTAATGTGATAACTAGGGATGGGTATCGTTGAGGTTTTAACGGTACTACTACTTTTATCGATACCGCTTATCGGTCCGGTCTTTTAACGGTACTCTTATCGGTTCTTTTGGAGAGAAAAAAACTAAACAAATTGTGAACAAAACTAACATTGCTTTTTATTTAAATTAAATAAATAATATTTCACATCAAAAGAAACAACAATGCTTTAACAAATCATATTAAATAATCTGATGACAGAATAGCTGAAACTTTAACAAAATAAATAACTAATCATTAACCCATGTTTGTATAATGTAGTTAACTGCGTGTGTTGCTGCTAGCATACAGAACACCTGACGTGGAACCGTTACTCGTGGATGGGGCTGCAGAGCTGCTAGAAAGACAGTCGAACCCGGTGCATTCCTCCATCTGAATGTGGAGCACTTTTGCTAAATGTTTAGACAAATTGCTCGTGTTATCGCCCTTACATGCTGAACTCTTATTGCACTTTAGGCAACGAGCATCGTCCACATCGAGACGGGTAAAGTTTAACCACACCTCGGAGCGCGTTCTCTCCGCCGTGTGTGTGTGTTGCTGCATGTAGCAGCTGCGTGTGTCTACTGCCCCGCCCCCTCCCAAGCAGGCGGGGGAGAGAGAGTGATCTCTTGACTGGATTGTAAAGATCGAAAATACTAAAAATAATCATAGACGCATTTTGCGTATTAGAAACTGAGTTGGCGACACTAAAACTGCAATATAATGTTTGTGTAGCAATAATACATACGACATATTTTTTACATGTCTCCAGTACCGATAAAAAGACAGATAACATCGGAGCTTAACGGTACCACAGTCTTTAATAATTCAGCCCCGGGGCCCGTTTAATACCGGGGCTCGGTACCCATCCCTAGTGATAACAATTATTTATTTATTTTAATCAAAAGTTACCTGAGCAGATGCTCCACACCCACTTCTTCCGCTTCCTCGGCTCCAATCTCACTGGTGACGTGTTCAAATGTCTTGGATGTTGGTGTGCCATCCTAAAAATAGTAAAGCACAACAATGAAAATCATAACTCTAAGTTCGACCAAAGTTTGTTTGAATAGTAAGCAAGTTAAAATAGTCGTAATGTCGTAGTGCAGTGTTTGAAACCACAAAAATAGGATGATACAAGTGCAATATAGACTTTCACCTTTAACTGGGAAAACGTTCGAACACCTCAAAAAAAAAATAAAAAAAATAAAGCTCTTTTAAAGGTCTTCTAATTCAGTGTAGTTTGACATTTACCTTGTGGAAAGGTTAAATATAAAGAGCTGTTATAAAACGTATTCAATGAAAATCACCAGACTTGTGTCAGGAAAATGCATGCATCAACACTAAACTCACACAAATGGAAATGTATTCATTATTATTTAATTCAATAGATCAATGCTCAGCCTAAACCCTTTTGAAACCACTCCTATTTAATCTCCTTCAATGCATTCCATGATTCACTTACGTCATGTATTTCCTCCACAGAGATGTATGCTTCTGTGGGTAGACCAAGGTCTTTGGGCTTCACGTCTATAATGACTAAGACCTGATGGAATAAAAGACAAATATACAAGTGACTTATACCACATCAGAAAAAAAGAGAGGGGCAAGGTGATATCACATCACATTCACACATTCACATCAAGCAGAGGCTAAATGTAAGCTGTTACTTACCGAATTGGTACAGTACTGCTTGATGAGCTCGTTGATGGCAATGTCATTCTTATGTAACTTGGGTCCTGTGTGGTACCATCCGACTATTCTTTCTCTGGCTGAAAACAAGGAAAGACAGTAACGACGCTAGTACAAAATAATCAGGGTCACCATCATTAAACAAAAGCAGATAACATAGACAGTGCCTTACCATTAACTTTTTTGAACATGCCATACATGTTCTCCAAGTAGTCATGATCCAGGAACCACACAGAGTCATCCCTGTCATCCTCGTCAAAAGGCACTGCAAAGGAACATTGACAATGAGTTAAAGAATTGACTTGCGTTCCCCTTTCAGAATAATTGTATTTAATATTGAGCTTTAGCAGTTTTAAATCCACAGTCAAATGCATATTCAAATATGTTCAAGTAGCCCTCTCAAAATATTGTACACATAATCAACCAATGACAGCATTTGGTTAATGTTTGCTGTGACTTTGGAGGGAGATTTGTAAGATATTATAAATTCTAATATGGAGTTCCTTGGATTAGGAATGAGGAAAACACGTTGATCCCAGAACGCACAGGCACAGAGTCAAAAGAAAGATACTATACTGTTAAAATTGTTAAGTTATAAGTGAATGATTCAGTCTTTGAGAGATTGTATCATACTAGGGAATACAAGGTAGAAAACCTCTGCCTCATTGTTCTTTGAGTATTACCCTTATGTATTGAATAAGCTTCTCCCAAGCTGTCAAAATGTCACTCACCTGCAAAACTGTTTGAGACGTCAAGAACTTTTTTATGCCATGATCCCAGAAGGACACCAACCACTCGTTTCTGGTTTCCAACCTTTCCTATCCTGTAAATGAATGTGTAAGATGTGTCAAAACAGAAAACATTATCTTGTTAGTTTATCACAGTTTGTCAGAAGTAAACGCCATGACTCATGAACATAGGGTGAGCCGTTAGCTTGGGAGCTAGTCTAAGCTAAGCTAATGTCCATATCTTCATGTTATCATCGCTTAATGAATGAATGACAAAATAATACCATTACTGTGAATGTATTAGCAGGTTAACCTACTTACAAATCATATCTTATTATAAGACCATTTATCAATATAACACATATTATGCTCCAACAACAACTATGGGACAAACTAAACACATTTCCCTTAACTAGCTAGCTTGGTCATGTCTGCATTCACTCTCAATGGCGCTCTGACTCAGCAGGGCTAGCATTAGCTTAGCCTAGCAGCAACGTTAGGCTTTTGGACTTTTTAACTAGCAAATTGTGTAAAGGATAATAGACCAGTCTTGAAATTACTGACCTGTTAAAATGATCGACCACACTGAGCAACACCAAGGGGTGAACGACAACATTTTCCACCGCTAGCTCCGGCATTTTAGCAGTGAAGATAAACAGCTCGCAGCAGCCGATCTCAACACAATGACGGCTACTCTACACTTCCGCCTGCCTGTGACGCAACTTCCGTTTCTCTTGGCAACAGAGAGACACAGAGAAAAGGCAGGAGAGTTTTCATTTCTCAGATCACAGACAAAATGGCAGGAACTGAGCACGTAAGTTAATTTTGTTAAGTGTGTGAGTTGTTTTCTTAACCTTATATTCAGTTGTGTCACTACATAACAACGTATTATGGTTAATTTTAACCTTGGATAAACGAAAACACCAACATTGTTTCAATTATACTATCTGTAATCATAGATTGTATGGCCGTAATGTCACTAAAATGACCTCACTGGCATTATATTTAACTTGCTAACTAACTTCACTGAAATAAAAATCAAACATTCTACTTCAGTGGGTGTTTTTTTAATTAAATATCTTTCTTACATTCATTCTGTCCTGCAGGCTAACGTTGAGGATACACTCAAAAGGATCGAAGCCCATAAAGGTGTGATTGGAACAATAGTTGTCAATACAGAAGGTAAACCAGAACGCAATATAAATCTGCAGCCAAACTGTTTACTCTGGTGCAAAAGGTTAACAATGCTGTTTGACTCTAAGGGTTGTTAATGTTTGATCTTTTCAGGTATTCCCATCAGAACAACATTAGATAACTCCACAACTGTTCAGTATGCAGGACTTCTTCGCCACCTCGCGATGATGGCCAGGAGCACAGTGAGGGACATCGACCCTCAGAATGACCTCACCTTCCTCCGCATCCGTTCCAAGAAACATGAGATCTTGGTTGCACCAGGTGAGTTTGGAGCAGATAGGTATTGTTGACGTAATGATGGCTACTGAAACAAAAATGTATTATCAACTCAACTAAAGATTGTTACTTAGGAGCCGCTCTGCTGTATTAACAATATTTGTTTCCTTTTATGTTTCGGCAGAGAACGACTTCCTGCTGATAGTCATCCAGAACCCATCTGAATAGCTTCTGGACATTCCCATGATAGTCAGCCTTTGGTTTATCACATGATGCCGTTTTATCCAGGCTAAAATATATTTTACCACTGTGTTATGTTGCCCCATGTACTGCATGATCGTTCCTTTTGTACTTTAAGTTGCCTTAATGTACAGGTTGCACTGTTCGTTTACCTCATCTATTTCTTTAATTTCATTTCTGTGTTAATATTGAATAAGTCTGTGAAATAAAGCTGCTTGTGATGTACATAGCTTACTGGGTCATGCCTGTTCATTTTGATGGGTGACATATCCTACAGTATATAGTATATACTATGTCAAATAGGTCCATACAGGTGCTTCACACAATTAAGAAATGTACTATATTGTACACAAAATCCAAAAGGACAAGATGACTAGAGGAACATGTACTGTACTTTAAAGGAAATAGTATTGGGCCCCAGGAGCTTAAGTCACAAATACTGCTTTGTCGACTGAGCATACTTGTGACTGGAACTGAATAGGAAGAATCGGCATTTAACTCATCATCACATGCCTGAATGCTTGACCCAGTTTGTAGTTAACAAAGCTCTTCGGTATGGGTTACATTTATTTGTGTCCAATTTTCTTCTTTGAGGAAAGGGTCCCAGGAAATCAACCAAAAAATGATTGTAACTAATCACTTGTCTCCTTCTATAGCTTTACCGACGCCTGAATAGATTTCTTCTTGGCCCTGGTAATTGAAAAAGCCTTGGGCTGGTACAGATCCTTTAGTTTGCAAAGTAATAGCTGTGATGGAGTAAAATATACAATGTTGACCATTGCAATGTTGTAGATTAATAAAGTAGTATAACATGGGAAACCTAAGTTACGGTAAAAGTATAACATTATAGATTAGAGTTTAATTGATCATTCTTTTCAGTGGTGGAAAATGTGTTTCTTAGGAAATGTAGTAGAAATGTAAGGTAACTTAAAAATGGAATAGCTCAAGATGAAAATACCTCAAAATTGTAATTATGTAACTGTACTTTCGAGCAATGCTTTTATACTTGTTTTGCATAGGAACTGAACACTTCATCTCCCCAGAGAAATGACAATGACTTATAAAATACATTTTACAAATATTTTATTGTAAATTTCCATCAGAATGTACAGCAATTTATGTTAATAAATAATTCATCACAATTATACAGCCCAAATAATACATTACATAACTGATTGAAACAAATATGCAGGATTTCACAGCAGGTGACGCAGGCGGGTCAGGAGATTTTTGGGAGATTGCTACTATAGCTTGTGCTTGTAGGAATGGGCTCCTGGGATTCCAATTTTCAGATAGGAAGGAAAGGGGCATCTTGTTTTACCTGGCTTGAACAAAAATAAATCTCATAGAAAAAGAAAAGTAAATGTTATGCTTTTTGTTACAAACAGACGGTTATCAGTTTTAACATTACTGAAATGGAACTCAATCATTTGGCATTTAAGTAATTAAACAGTTTTTCAGATAAGGGAAACAATTCAAAAGTTGGACAGTATGTTTATAAATACAGTATTTTCTCTCAGTGCCAATTATTATGAACATTTGTAGAATATTGCAAAAGACCTTTGATAATATCAACTCTTCAAGTTTAATTGACATCTCTAACCGTGTGGTGGGACAGACTCTTGGTTGAACCAGACTCTTGGTGTGAATAAAACTCACATTTGCCACGTTGTCGTCCAACGCCCAGTGCATGAAGGCTAACCCTCAAACCTTTTGACATCACATACCATTTTTCAAATACAACTGCTATAGCATCCTTCATTTCTAAACATTTTTTTATTCTGACCAGCAGCACTTTAAACAAAACATATGGCTTCCCACAAGAAATGGTTAAAACAGTAAAACATACGAAAATTCTTCCTCTACCACAAGTGACATTACCAATGGAAAATTTATTAAAACCTCAAAAAACTTCAATGATACCATTTTCCATTATATAGATTCTATCTTTTAGCAGTTTTCTATCCTCTGCAGAAGCTTTACCAGCACACATCCGTTAGATACGGTGCTAATAGAGGCTAAAATATTTTACCACACAGGACGATCAAGTATTTCCTCCAATTTCACTTCAAGTGCATCCTATCAAGTTTAAGGCCTGAGGTGTGCTTTGATTCCTTCACCAAGTGACCGCTGCACGCTTACTCTCTTATCATTGCTGTCCAGAGAGGCTACAGATTTGTGACGAGTGATACATCTCATTAGTGTAAATCAATACATTTGATGCAAAAATTGATGTGAGCTAAATGGTGGAGAGTCCTTAAAGCTAAATCTGGGACTAGTGGGAGTGGTTAGCGTTACTCTGGCGAAGATGCTGTTTCACCTACACAGTGTTGTTACAATCCATAGGCAGAATGAGGGAGAGCGAGAACGCCCACACCATATGGCCACCATGATTTACGGTTACCGTGGCAACATGGCAGGTAATCAGTTCAATAATATAACTGATTGGCCAGCAGGGGTAACAAGACAAGGATTGTCTCTTTCAAGTGCTTCAAGTGCAGAGAGTGTTCTGGCTCTAGTCTTGTTCCTGTTACTGTTCCTTTGCTGTCAGAGGTGTGTCTGTCAGGGAGTGTGTGTCAGAGGTCACCTCTGCGTGTGCCCGTTCACTTGCCCCCTGCCCCAGTGAATGTTAGGTAGCGTCAAACACCGCCTGAAGTGCTCCAGCTGGGCCTGCAGTCTCTCCCTCTCCTCTCGCACTTTCTGCCTCTGACTCACCAGCTCCTGACAAAGGAAGAACGGATACAATTATCAAAAACCAAACATGTTCTGCACTGAGCAGCATCACTTAAAAACAGTATGCACATTATAAAAAATAATGCACATAAATCTGCATGTGTACGGAAACTTACCCCCATATTGAGAGAGAGCTGCTCTGCAGTTCTGGTCAGATTGTAATTCTGTGCTTCAAGTCTCTTACACTGACTGTGAAGAATCTGCCTCTCTATGCTCCATTCTGTACAGAGAGAAACACACAAATTAGGGAAAATTGCATCCATTCTAATACCTTTCTCACACAATGGTCTAACAATATATTGGAGTCCAACCCAAGAAGTGGACCGTAGGATAAATCGGGGCTACTAACAAAAAACATTTGGCCCCTACAAAAACATACTTTTTTTATTGCGGCATCTAAACTTCGGCATGTTTTTTTAAATATACTGTACTAAAAGCAGTTCAAATGCAAGGCTTATCTGATAACATCCAATAATAATCATTGATAATGCTTCAAAACAGGAAATATGTTTAAGAGACTTTTTGTGTAATTAAGATGCTTCTGAGTGTAGAATGAGACAAAATGTTGGGTAACATTAAAAAAAACTGACTGGAAATTGACTCACCATCCGTATACTCCTGGTAGGCCTCAAACACGGCTTCGATACCCTGCCACTTCCTGGGCGCTTCTTCCATCTCCTCTTCCTCCTCTTCCTCCTCCTGACCAGACTCTTCCTCACCCTCATCAGACAGGTTTTCCCGCGGCACTGGAAGTTCTCCGCTGGCTACAAGGGAATGGACATGATGGCCGTTGACATGTGAATGCTGAGGGGCGAGGTGAGATGAACTTTTCAGCTGAGAGATGCTGTGAGGCAACAAGCGGTCCGTCTTCATGCCAGCTTCAGGGACACAATTTGAGACTCCTTAGAAGAAATAAGAGAGAGAAGAGTGTGGTTATAAAATATGCATTTCTACTGCTGGTGTGTTACATGTGAACACCACTAGGTGGCAGAACATTGTCATTTTTAAATTCACAATCGAGCATGATGGTAATGCACCTCTGGAGTAAGTGGCTAACCTTTGTTCTGCAGTGTGTTGTGTGTGGACTGCAGCACAGCCTGGTGGAAGTGCTGAGCGAAGCCCTCTGGTGTGAACCTCTCCCAGGGCCTACTCCGTCCATTCGGCCCAGGATTTGGCTCCTTTTTCTGAGGAGAAGCCACAACGCCATTCTGGAGGCCCTGGAGGTTCCTGTTTGGCTGAGTCTCCATAAATTCACGTTTTACATGATGGGGGGCCAAGGCTGGAGGGATGCGGGCCACGTGGGAGTCCGAAGAGGGTTTGAATGTGTCGTTATGGGGGGGATGTTTGGGTTTGTGTAAATAGGGAGGGGAAGGGCTGGGAGAGTCTGGGTAATGATGTCCATTTGATTGGCTAGGCAGGGGGGCTGATGAGGAGTCACCTAAAAACAAATGTTACACTTTCCTTAGAAAAAGTATAAAGTGTTAAACATAAACGTGCATATAATTGTGTGTGCGTGTGTGTGTGTGTGTGTGTGTGTGTGTGTGTGTGTGTGTGTGTGTGTGTGTGTGTGTGTGTGTTTGCTTATGTGTCTCTCACCATTGGAGGGAGCAGGGGGACTGATACACGGAGGTAAAGGATTATATCTGAGCGTGTCTAATGTCACAGTCTTCTTCTGAATGGCATTCAGCAGCTCCTCTGTCCTCTCCTTATCTGCAGAGAAAAGACAGAATGAGAACACCTGTCATTCATATTTTAAAATATGGCTTAAAATATTGACTGGCACAAGGAAACTGATGGTTGTAGCTCAGCAAATGGGTCACTCAAGGTAAGGTCCAACACCATCACAGACTGACTTTGGCCACCACACACATTATATAAAAGCTCATCCTTTTCAATAAAAAAAAGAGTTAAAAATATAAATTATATCAGGGTATTTTGGCAGAGGAGCAGATGTAGCAATGTTGACAGATAAGACATTGGTAACAGGAAATTAAATCAAAGATTGACAGGAAATGCAAATGAGCTGCTAAATATGCACCAGTAATGAACAGTGATTATAAAAAAACTGAGTTTGCCCTGCAAAACAGTATTTTAAAACATTGACTTGATTTCTGTATTGTGATTTCTTTAAAGCGATTTCCATGCTGTTTCAATAACTGGGTAAAACAAAATATATAAAACTAGTTGAACGTAGTGTTTGCTGCAAGGAAATCGTGACATGACGTATGATACAATAATTATATCTGGTACTAATATTGTATGCATTTGACATTAAATCTTTCAAAATATTTAAATTTGCTCAATTCCCTAATTTGCTAAATATAACATCCTCTCAAGATGCTTCCTAACGGTTTCTTCTTCTCACCCCTCCAAAATCCTCAGTAAACTGTGAGTCTTATTTTCCACGGGGAACCTCCAGATCAACTGTGAAGAAAGCAAAGTAGCACGTAGGCTGTGTGTGATGCTGAACAGGTGTTTACCTCTCCTCTGCTGTGGGCTGACATGGGAAAGGTTGAACATATGGAGGAAGTCTTTTTTCTCATGCAGTTCGGGGGTGTTGTCCATCTGCTCGGCAGAATACGGTGTGGTTAGGGAAGGTGTAGGTGTTGAAGGTGAAGTGGCCTTCCTCTTGCCCCGCACGGTCGGCGGAGAGAGGCTGCGCTCCCTCATCATCCTCCTTCTCTTCCTCCTCTTCCGTGCCAGAATCTCATCGCGATTGGCCAGTGTGGTCAGACCGCATACACGTAGAAAATCCACTTTCTTTGGAGAGAGACATTTGGGCAGGTGAATATCGCTCTAACAAACATTTTAAAACCATCAATGTATATAAGAAGCATATGATATTCTTGCACCTCAGAGGATGCATCCAGTTTGAGTGGGGGCTGTTTTGTCACTCTCCTCAGATGGGCTTTCACCTCCTCCTCGTCACTCTCATCATATGATTCGTCCTGGTCATAGTAAAAACCTGGTGAAGGAACAGCAAGAGACAAATTAAGGAGAGAAGGATGTCATCTCTTCTGCCTACTACCCCCTCTGCTGTAATTCCCCTCTCTTTCCACCTCTTCATAGCTGTGCTCACCTCCTTCTCTGGCCTCCTTCCTCCTCTTCTCCTCCATGTCCAGTTTGCTAAGCAGCCGGCGGTGCTGCTGCAGAACCTCGTCATACACCAGCATGCTGTCAGGCGGCTGACTCTGTCGCTCCCTCACCGGAGACGGAGACGAGGCCTGACTCCGACCCACCAGGTCGGGGCAGGTACCCTGAACTGTGGGAGGGGCACAGGCTCTCTGGTGGAGGTTACTCATGTGATGCCGCTGATAGAGGCTCTGGATGGCTCTGTCTTGCTCTGCCTTGTTCCAGGAACCTGCTTCTTGTAAACTGGCTCCCCTTAATGAGGTGTACCTCTCTGTGCCCTCCCCTCTCCTCCTGCCTCCCTCCTCCAGCTTCTCCCCCCAGCTCAGAGGTGGCCTGTCGACTCTCGTCAGTCCTGGAGGCGGCCTACTGGGCGGTGTAGCAGGGTTGAGTTTTCTGCGGGAGTCTGCGGGGGTGTCGACAAGGGAAGCTGGGTTCCACAGTGTAGTCGGAGGGGCAGGGGCATGATGGTGACCTTTGGGGGAGATGAGGGGAGGAGGAGCGCCGAGGCAGGGAGGTGCGTCTTTGTTGCCTGAATGGTTGTGATGGACTGAATTGGTTCTGTTAAGGAAAATAAAAACAAAGTTAACGTCTCACCACACTGAGTGACATTGCAGACATAAATAATCATTTTCTGTGTTTTCACCTGTGACTGTCTCTCCTCAGCTCCACCCCTTTCCCGGGGGACCTGAGGCCCTGCTCCAGCGGACCCTCCCTCTCCTGCCCTTGCCCTCGTTGCCTTGATAACCATGCCGCCTCGCTGGCCCTCTGAGTCATCATGGCAGCTGCAAGAGCTCCATGGATCCCCCCGGAGCCAGCATGATGCTTCCCCAGGTGAGAAGGCACCAAGCTGGGCACAGGGTGTGGGATGGAGCCTCTGGAGGAGTGAAGACCAGGCTGCAGGGACAGATGTTTGGGTGATGGGAAACCTGGGTGCTCTGAATCCTTGTTTTTATCTGGAGAAACAGTTCAGAAGCCATAAATTAGTTGTGTATGTATGTAGACATGTATGACATTTCTTCACACATATTTCAGCATCTTAAAGTGTGAACAAGATGATGGGTCAGACATTTTAATACATATCCTTTAAATATCTATTCGGAATCTTAAGTGACACACGCCAGTTTGGACAGTACCGTATACTTTTAGAAGATTTGAAATTATACCTGCCCTAAGGATGGCAAGAAATATGAATGAAAGTGTTGTTGTGCAGCTAAGCTCCACAATTTTCTTTTTTTTTTACAATAGTCTGAAGGTCAAACTAGGACAGTAAAAGCACCTAAACGCAAAATGCACATTATAAAAAATGTGTGATTCATAATTACTCTACACACTGAGGACAAGTGACAACCAATCACAGCCGGAATAGCCTACATCTTTCCTGTCTCTCATAGAGAATATGGATGCCATCGTTTTTTAGGTGATCAAATAACAGTCAACAAAGTAAACGGCTGCGCAAATACGGCAGCACGCTCTGCACGCTGGCACTGAACTTCTCAGGCTGCAGCACTACACCAACGGCTCTGCTGCAGAGAGTTCATGAAGTGGAGGAGCTTTTCAAACTATAAAGAAGCTGTGAACAGCAGACACTATAAGAATCGCCCACATTCACTCATTAATCTGCTTTGACTATTCTGGCTGGAGAGTGTTAATTGACAGAATTTACAAAACCTTCAAATAAGCCAGAACCGCGGTGCACGCATGCATGTGTCATAGGTGCGCTCCAGTACTTATACAAATAGCATTACACCCCTGAAGGGCATCCCGAGGCCTCACAGTAGCATGATGAAAAGGTTATGATTCATCTATTAAAACCTTATAACCTTTTGGTTCCTTAATGTTGCCTCTCCTTGAGCCAGAATACCATCAGGAGTTTATTCAACTATTGGGGCCCCGGACCAGAAGAGGCCCCCAAAGAAGGTCGATTACATTGGTTGACAATGACATGTCGGGAATCCACCAAAAGCTTCATAATTTCAGCTTCATCATTTCAGTTTCGTAATTTCAGTTCCAGGGGGGTGGGGGTGGGTGGATGTGTTGGGGTGTAGGTCTCTTCTGCCTGGGCCCCCCAGAGTGTCTGGAAACCCCCTTTGTGTGTGTGTGTGTTAGGGATGGGAATTTGAAAGCAAATGTATATTCGAATATTCGACCCCCCAAAAAACGGTTAACCGGTTAACCGAAATGTACATATCCTATAAAAAAAAATTGGGTAAAATGTTTTTTTCAAAACTTATCTCAACCAATGACAGCTCTGCATGCATCCTCTGGAATCTGGATATTATTTTAGAAACTGCTTTCATCGCATCGCGATGTTTACAGTGAGAACAGCTGTGAGGTCCGTGCAGAAAGCAGAGCAGTGTACAATATATATCACTCAGTATAACAGGCCTACATTACTCTCTTTATTTGCTGTAGTTTAGTAGATATCTACAAACAAAGAGTCGATATTTTTCTAAGACCATTTAGTGCTTCACATAATAAAATACACAACGGCTTTAGGAGCTGTAAGTGTGTAAGGTGTGTGTGTGTGTGTGTGTGTGTGTGTGTGTGTGTGTGGTGTGTGTATGTGTGTGTGTGTGTGTGGTGTGTGCGTGTGTGTCTGTGTGTGTGTGTAGGTGTGTGTTGTACAGTGCGTAGATGCGGCGGACAGACGGGTCTCAGTTGGGTTGGTGTCCTCTGCTTACTTTTAATACTTGTAAATACAACTTTTGGTCCGTAATTTCAATTCCCCATTTCAGCGACCAGAGAGAGGGGGGGATATATCCAGTCTCTGATTGTGTTACGTTATTATGAGAGTGCTCTCATACTTTAAATTGTATATATTTATATAAATATATTTGTGTGTGTGTGTGTCCGCATCTGTAGCCTGTTATTGTCTCATTATACCGCACTCTCAATGAATTCAAAGTAAATATGTGGGGGAACAATGTTCAGCTGATCTAACAGAGATTATAAAATACAGCACTATGACAAAACACTCGACAGCTGATGCAGCTGTTGCCACGTAATAATGAACGAACGTCGCTTTAATAAGACCGCTCAGAGGAGAGGAGTTCTAATTTCTTTAAACGTCTGGCTGCTTCCCCTCCTCTCTCCTCGGTTCCCCTCCTCGGTCCTCCGCTCGCATCTACTGTGGGCGGGACTAATTCTCGAGGAGGGGAGTCGAGGAGGGGAAATTTAAGAATTGAGAAGCCTCTTCTATAGAGAACTGCAGTGACGCGTCGTAAAACCCGGAAGTAAGTTAGCATTTTTAGCACTTCCGGTTCCTTCGTCAAAAAGCAATGCATTTTCTCCATAGGGTTTTGGAAAATAGCTCGAAATAAGGTCTGTGGTTGACACAAATTTAAGAGATAAATCACGTTTTGTTCTACGACATTAAATACATCAGCAGTGACCCCACTGGTGATTTTTGAAGAGTTTACGTGTCTGAAAAACGATGGTTGTTACCGAGTGGCTGAATAGGACTACAGAAATTGTCGAGGCCGTTGTACGTCATTACGCCTAACACGTAAACACTCCCGCTAAATTTGTTTCCCCGGTGTTCTGCTTGAAAGCAAGTACCTGCCTATCTTTAATTACCAGTGTTTTCCAATTTTACTCGGCAGTTCGTTTCGTTAGCTAAAGCTAGTGCTACTAGTTAGCTACGCAATGGTTTGTTGCTTTGCTCCGGGTTGCAGCCATAGGTCTTTGCATGAAACGTGCTCGTTCTATCGTTTCCCGGCCAATGTTTTCCAAAGGAGAGTCTGGATTCGTGCAATGAGGTAAGCTGACGTTACATTTTTGTCCATGTCACGGTGAAATGTAAATGATGGGTGACTGTATCGCCGTTTTAGAGATGGCGCTGCTGAAAAGACCGCAACATAAGTAAAGATAATGAATACATCCTATTAAAACCTGTGTGGCTTATATGATAAGTCTAATTAGTACAAGCAGCATCACGTTTCACCATGTAACTAAAGATTGTAGTCAGGGAAATCAGTTTGACATATTGAACTAATAACAAATCACCTCTGGCTGGCAGAGAACTCTCTGCTCCATAGCTTCTCTTGGACGTAAAATCACATGTACATTTTACATTTATATTCAATTTAATATTCCATCCCTCACATACTTTTGTATATATAATAACTTATATTTTGTTACAGTTACAGTAATATCTTATCTTAATTCATTAAGAAATATAACTATTATAATTAGTGTAGCAGCTGACACCTATTTTCAATATGGATTAATCTATTATTTATTTAGTTCAATTTTCATCTATAAAAATGTCAAAATAGTGAAAATGTTCACGAGACAAAGTGCAAGGTTATATCTTTAGATGTTTTGTTTTAGCCTATGTACTGCAGTGTGAGAAAAAGTTTTTAGAGAGTAGGCCTACTTGTCCATGGACAAGTGAGTTTGGCAATTTACTTGTCCGAATACATTTTTCACTTGTCCAGAATGGACAAAAATTGGGGCCACTGGAATCTTCTTCTTCGCCATCGTATTTTACATTTTTCCACGTTTTTTACGACATAGGCAGTGGCGGCGCCAGAGTATTTTTGTTGGGTAATCTATGGTAGGGCTAACCCATACAGTGGTGGGGCTCAAGTCAGTATTTGCAATGTAATTACATACATGCTATATCGCCCCCCTTGACAGTGAAACTCCACGCGTGAGGTTTAGATTATTTCCCTGTCTCAATACAAATTGAACTGTATGAAATAATAAGGCACATTTGTCTTGTAGTAAATAAAAAGGGCGACCTGGAGCCAAATCCTGCAATTCCCCACAGGTGAAAGAGTTGACATGCTGAAAACCCAACACCTGCAGGGGGGTCTGGGGGATTCTCCCTTCTCTCTTGAGAAGACAAATAAATAAATCTATTACTACACGACATATTTAAAAAAAATGAATGCCATTTTAGTTTTTTGTTACTTTGTTCTGAAAGCTGAACCTGCTGCTCCTCACTGAAGAGGGAAGAGGCTGTGTGAATTACTTTACATTGTGGATAAGGGTGGATAGCCCCCATTGTTCTGTGTGTAAAAATGAAAGACAGCCCACACACCTATCAATCATCAAACCGTGGGGTCTTATTTCATTACGTGTTGATTTCGATCAACACGTAATGTTGTATCGATGTATATAGAGATGTATTTGTTCCTACTCGGAACCGAGTTTTGCTTCCCAACCCTGCCACTGTGCTACACTTCCCGTAGAAAGCGGCGAGATGCATTTGCTTAGGAATCGAAACTAACATTTCTAAACGAACAATGGCGGACACGGACAATTTGCGAATGAGTTCTGCCTTTTGTAAACTGAATTTGTCAATAAATCGGGGCGAAAAACGTCACTTGTCCGCCGGACAAGTCAATTGAAAGATCTACTTGTCCGATATTGTAAATAACACGTCCCGGACGGTGGGACGTGTACTTTTTTGCACATTAACTGTATGTCTTAATGCTCTGTGACGGTGTGACTTCCATGAAACTAATATTTTATATCTTCCCAACAGACGAGCTGACAGGAAACCAAACACTCTAACAACCACAAAATTGCAAAGGCGAGTAAATGTAAATTAAAAACGATACACATTTTAAATGTCTTCTTCTTTCTTCAGGCATGAAAATCACTCACCTTTCGGCGAAATTCGCCGTTTTGAATCCAAAATAGGTCGTTTGTGTGATTCATGTAGATCTGCAATAAAAATATTTTTGGGGTATGGGGGGGTCTGGGACCCGGAGTAATCTGCGGCCGCGAGCTGTTATTTTATGTGCCATCATGACACGCATGGTGTTCTTTTTTTATATATTATAATGCAGCGCGAGCTGTATGCTCGAGTCTTCCTGCCTGTCGGCTCTGCTGCTCCGCGATGATGGTCTAGCTTCAGCAGCCACATTACCTACGGGTGCGTTCGTTAATATTAACTGTGCGGTCCGTAGTCACTGTGGCACAGACTGGACCGCTGGTGAACAGCTGTTAGAACGGGCCGTTCAGGCATTCAGAGCGGAGCGCAGAGCGTGATGTGAACTGAAAAGTTTTTCTGTCACAATATTATCGTTGAGCTAGCTAGCATACATTGTCACTATCTGCTAACGTTAGCTTTAGCCTTCGTTTTCTAATAGTTTTCATAGGCTATAAACGGAGGTGGTATAAGTATAGATCTTGTACTTGAGTAAAAGTAGAAGCACTCAGATCTTGTACTAGAGTAAAAGTAGAAGTACTCAGATCTTGTACGATTAAAAGCAGAAATACTCAGATCTTGTACTTGAGTAAAAGTAGAAGTACTCAGATCTTGTACTTGATTAAAAGTAGAAGTACTCAGATCTTGTACTTGATTAAAAACAGAAATACTCAGATCTTGTACTTGATTAAAAGCAGAAATACTCAGATCTTGTACTTGAGTCAAAGTAGAAGTACTCAGGTCTTGTACTTGAGTAAAAGTAGAAGTACCAGAGTGTAGGAATACTCTGTTAGTAAAAGTACTGCATTCAAAATGTTCCTCAAGTAAAAGTAGAAAAGTATTCTCATCAAAATATAGTGAAAGTAGCGACAGTAAAAGTAGTCGTTGTGCAGATTGGTCAATTTCAGAATAATATATATGATATGTTTTATAATGATTGATCATGAAAGTGTTCTCAAAGCTGGTAAAAGTGCAGCTAGTTTGAATGACTTTGTATACTGCAGGGTAGCTTGTGGATTTATTCCAGGTGGAACTAAAGTCTGATTCAACACTTGATTAGATTTCACATCATTCATCCACATCTGTAAAGTAACTAAAGGTATTAATGCATGTAGTGTAGTCAAAGTACACCATTTACCTCTGAACTGTAGAGGAGAAGAAGAACAAAGTAGCAAAACATTGTAATACTTAAATAAAGTACAAGTATCTCAAAATTGTACCCAAGTATAGTACTTGAGTTTATGAATTTAGTTACTTTACACCAGATGCCATAAAGATAGAAAGACTAAGCCTTGCAAAGAGGCATGAAAATACATTTTCAAAATGCTCAACAGTGCTGCCAAAATTATAAACTGATTGCTACACAATTAAAATAAATGCTTTTATATATTTCTATTAGATGTGACTCTTTAGCGTTTCTGTTATTATTAACACTTCTGCTTTAGTTGTTTTGACTGCTAAAATCCTGTTATTCCTCATTTTAAAGCCGATATTCCGTGGGGTCGGGGGGGCTCGGGTCCTTGTCACCTTTTCCATACCTGATGAGTTTGCATCCCTGATAATACTTAGTAAGGAGGCCATAATATGTTTGACTCATGGCTGAAGTTAAGTTTCTCCAGCTCTCCCCAGGTTGGCAAAAAAAATGCATCTCAAAATGCATCAGATTGATGCTTTAAAATATGGAATATTCAAAATGTTCTTCCGGGGGAGCATGCCCCCGGACCCCAGAGGGATAATATTCTTCTCACCTTTTTCACCCCTGACCCGTTTTCATGCCTGTTTCTTGCAGTGAGGTGAAGCTGACCTTGCACTTGGTGCCAGTAAGGATGTTCCTCACGCAGGCTGAATGTTTCTCCCTCCTTACTGACACAGAAGCCCTTGATTTGCAATGCTTCACTAATTGTCATTTCCCTGGCTCCGTAGGGACACTTTACCTCCAGCACAGTGGCCATGTCTGTTGTGTAGGACTCTTCTTAGAGTGTAAATAATTACCGGACTATGACTGGTAAAAGTCATAACTAAATCTCTCAAGTCAAAATGTCTATGTACTTTGCCGCCACACACGGTTGCCAAGCAGCGCTTATTGTTGTTTAGGATGGCCACTCATGTGTCGCGAGTGTTGACAGGGGGCGGGGGAGCACGCTAATGAACTGTTAGCGCCGGAACCTCGCAACGGCTGCGGAGTGCATTTGCACCGCATTTGGGCCTAAGATGAGGTTTGAGTCTGCGTGATCTGCGTGTAGGGAGGGGCAGGAGCCATATCATTGGCTAGAACTAGCTAGATCTGATGGATTTGGACATAAACACGAGTGAAGTATAACCGGACGCGAGAGAGAGAGAGATCAGCACCTGCAGCTCTGCCCGCTGTGAGGGACCGGTGAGCGGAGCAAAACTATGGCACTGTCGTATATATATACATTGAATTATTCAATTTGATAATATGTAATCAACTTAGGCATCCCTCCCAAAAAAAAAAAATATATATATATTCATAACTCATATTCGAATACATGAATAATTTCGAATATTCGATTAATTGTGTGTGTGTGTGTGTGTGTGTGTGTGTGTGTGTGTGTGTGTGTGTGTGTGTGTGTGTGTGTGTGTGTGTGTGTGTGTGTGTGTGTGTGTGTGTGTGTGTGTGTGTGTGTGTGTGTGTGGTGTGTGTGTGTGTGTGGTGTGTGTGTGTGTGTGTGTGTGTGTGTGTGTGTGTGTGTGTGTGTGTGTGTGTGTGTGTGTGTGTGTGTTGTGTGTGTGTGTGTGTGTGTGTGTGTGTGTGTGTGTGCTGTGTGTGTGTGTGTGTGTGTGGTGTGTGTGTGTGTGTGTGTGTGTGTGTGTGTGTGTGTGTACCCAGTCTGTTTGGGGTCAGCCTCTCCCCTGGCCTGGCCCTCTCCTCCGGTGGGGCCCTGCGAGCCTGCAGCTCAGCCAGGTAGTGGCTCTCGGCTGCTCGGACCATCTGCTGCTGTCTCTCCCTCTGCCTCTCCTTCTGTCTGTCCAGCTCTCTCTCCCGCTCCTCCTCCCTCTCCCTCTCTCGTTCCATCCCGGCCTCGCGCTCCCTTTCTTTCTCTCGTTCACGCTCTTGCTCTCTCTCTCGCTGGCGGAGCTCATTCTCCATCTGTAGCCTGTGGGGGAGGTTGACAAGTAGGCACACACACACACACACACACACACACACACACACACACACACACACACACACACACACACACACACACACACACACACACAGGGGGAGAAGGTGAGAGATGCAACACCCAACATGAGGCAGATATTAACCACACACTGGTGAACCTCACACAAACATTTCTGCTCAAACATACACACACTCGCAGAAACACACACAAATATGCACACACGCTCTCCACTTGCCATGAGGAAAATAATCCATACACAGCATGACTGAGCAAGAGCAGATGAACACTTAATAGGTATCCACAGGAAAAGGGCACACACACACAAAACAGAACACATTCAGCAGAAATCAATCGCACACAAACAAACCTACAGGATACGCAGGAGCCTGTGAGACTGACCGTTGAGCGGGCCAGACCAAGCAAGGAGGCAGAGGCAGAACGTCCAAAAATACAACCCGACATGGGCATTTATTAAAATCATGTGCACAAAGTTCACAGCCTCAATCCTGCTGTTCTCCTTGCACATCCTGCAGCCACAAGGATCTCACACACACCCAGTTAACTTACAAGGAAACAGCACCTAAATACACACATACTAACAAGACACAGGTGAGGGGGGAGGAGACAACACAGGACACCAGGAGTGGAGTGCACCAGCTGGGCGTAACTCTACGTCCGACGTAGAATCGAAGGTTAAGACCAAACTAAAGTTATGACTAGTGCACCACTTAGACTTAAGCCCTGTATGCGTTGCGCCCGGGTGTAACTTTTACGCCTAGTATGGAGCAGGCGTAAATCGGAAAGACAGACTAGTATCCATAGTAACGTAAAACAGGCAAGAAGGATATTAACGATGGCAGGGCATCTTGTTTACATGTTTAACAATGAAAGGGCATTAAGAAGAGTCTCAATTTCTCCTTCTCCAGCTCAATTTTTTCGTGTTCCGCTCTCAATTTGACGGTCTCCACCTCCACACGAACGATTTCTTTCTCCGTCAGTTCCCGCTGTAGCTCTGACAAATCCCTCTTTCTCTTTCGGGGTGTGGCCATTTGGGATTCCCCTTGAGTCATCGCTGACGCTGTGGGTGTGGGAATTCCCTCTTCTCTGCGGTCCTCTGAGTCTGTAAAATGGCGTTGCTTGGCAACAATTACTGTTTCGCGTGTATTCACGTGGACGCGCATCTTAAGACCAGGCGCAGCTACGCCCGAGACTAGTCAGGCTTGGTGCACTCGGTGTAAATTCGAATCACTACGTCGGACGTCGCTATGCCCGACGTTAGAGTTAAGCCCTACTTTTTTACGCCCAGCTGGTGCACTCCACTCCAGGTGCACACAATCATCAGCCACAGACATCAACATATTATTTGCACCCTGATTACTCTCAACCGCTGTCATCCTTACACCAGCATAACTACTCTCGGCGCTCTCGCAAACTCCCCTATTTTTTCAGGCGGAGCCGAGGACCCGACCAGCACCTGCCAGACAACATTCCAATAAATACGGTTTAATCAGTTAAAAGATACTACCTCAATAATTAGTATAAATTATGTGCAAATATGTAATGTCAACTGTACTGTGCAATCACGCTAATAAAGTGCAATATTACCCGGCCCGAAGCCGTCAGTTCATAGTGACGAAGTTACCTTCGTCACAGAGCCATTACAGAAATATACGATAAATACCATCCATATCAACACAAACATTTCCCTTGTGCATCTTGCCACAGAGAAACAAAGTGTATTGTGTGACTGAAAAATTAGCTGTAAGAAGATGGAGAGAAAGAAAGAAATAAAGAAAGAGGGGGTGAAAGAGACTTCCGTGTGTGTTCATGAAGCTTTATCTAAGCTAGATCCTAAGAAACCGGCTGGCCCGGACAACGTAGAACCTTTCTTTTTAAAGATAGCTGAGATTTTATTGCTCTTCCTCTTACTACTCTTTTTAACCTCTCCCTCAGCACAAATGCAATTCCAAAAGTATGGAAGTCAGCGTATGTCTTGCCTTTACTAAAAGGAGGGGAGGCAACTATTTTAAATAACTATAGGCCAATCTCTAAATTGTCAGTTCTAGCGAAGGTTCTTGAACGCTTAGTGAGTGAACAGGTAAAGGAGTTTTTATGTAACAATGACATCCTGTCTAAACATCAGTCAGGCTTCAGAAAGCAACACAACACCATCACTGCCACAATGAAAGTGGTGAATGACATTACGAGTATTTTAGACAATAACCAGAGTTGTGCAGCTCTATTTATTGACCTTTCCAAAGCGTTTGATACCGTCGATCATCGCATCTTAAAGCAGAGGCTACTCAGTATCGGCATATCCAGCCATGCAGTGGGTTGGTTTGTGAACTACCTCTCTGAAAGGTCCCAATGTGTTCACTTTGATGGGCTGTCTTCTGAGTGGTTAAACATTGCTAATGGTGTTCCTCAAGGTTCTGTTTTAGGTCCACTTTTATTCTCCATATATATCAACAGTTTAGGTGAAAATGTGGATGAAGCTACTTTACATTTTTTTATGCTGATGATACCGTGATGTATTGTGCAGGTCCCTCCATTAAGGAGGCTGGTGTTAAATTGCAGGCTGTTTTTAACATTATTCAGACTCAGCTTGCTGAACTTAAGCTTATTTTAAATGTTGATAAAACCAAGGTAATGCTATTTTCAAAAGCTAAAAAGACACCAGAGCCTGTTTTAGATATTGTTACTATGCAAGGACAAGTACTTGAAGTGGTTACCAGTTATAAATACCTAGGTATCTGGCTTGATGATTGTCTCACTTTTAAACTTCATGTCAATAACCTGCTTAAAAAGCTGAGGGTTAGACTAGGTTTCTTTTTCAGAAACAAGTCTTGTTTCTCGCTTGAGGCCAGGAAAAGGCTAGTCACTGTGACCTTTTTACCTGTGCTGGACTATGGTGATTTGTTGTATATGAATGCACCTGCCTATTGCCTGAACAAGTTAGATGCCGCCTATCACAGCGCACTGAGATTTGTCACAAATTGTAAAGCACTTACTCATCACTGTACCCTGTATGCCAAGGCAGGTCTGCCATCACTTACTGTAAAGAGGCTCAGTCATTGGTACACGTTTATTTATAAAGCTTTGTTGGGTAAACTCCCGTATTATATCTGCTCTCTGATAACACAGAGAGTTGCAAGCAGCTATTGTCTGAGATAGCATGATGTAGTATTGTTAGATGTGCCAAGAGCAAGGACTGTCTTAGGTAAGACAGCTTTTATGTGCGCAGCTCCACTTGCTTGGAACAATCTTCAGCAAGAATTGAAACTGAGCAATCTCATTCCTCTGCATGTTTTTAAAGCTAGGCTAAATGAAATGCTTGTTGATACTATGGGCACTTGTAAATGTCTAACTATGTAAATGTATCCTGTAAATATAATGTATGATGTTAGGGCTGTGCAATTAATCGTATTTTAATCGCGATTACGATTATGGCTTGCGACGATTATGAAAACAGCATAATTGACAAAATACGATTATTTAGCTGGGTGCGCTTTCGCCCCTCCCTAAAAGCCCACTCGGCCACGTGGGAGTGACATGTGTTGTGAGTGTTCAGCGCGAGCGAAGATGTCAGAACAAGAGCAGCAACTCGTTAAAAAGAAGGGTCAAACTATTTCCACTATTTGCAAGTACTTTGGCTTTCAGTTGTCTGACGTGGAGCAAAATAAAGTACAGTGCAGGATTTGTTACCAAGTTGTGTTGGCACCACACGCTAACACAACCAATCTCTTTAATCATCTGAAATACAACCACAAAGTGCAATACGACCGGGCAGTAATACAACAAAAAGCAGATGCCCGCTCGACTTCATCCACCACATCATCACAGTCATCGTTTCAGGACGCATTGTACAGAGCAACGGCCTACGCGACGAGCTCGCAGAGACATTACAGATGCCATTACATTTCACATCGCTAAAGATATGTGCCCAGTTAGCACTGTTAGCAACCAGGGCTTTAAGCAACTTGTCAACACGTTGGACAAGCGTTACGCGATGCCGTCTCGGTATTATTTCAGCAGGTCTGCGCTGCCTGCACTATATGACAAATGCCGTCGGGAAGTTGAGAGAGATGTGGCTTCAGCTGACTACTTTGCTACCACAACAGACCTATGGTCTAGCCCAGGGGTGCCCAACCAGTCGATCGCGAGATGTGTCTAAAAATAGAACAACAATATTCTGTTTTATGTCCTGTAACATAATCTTCCTGTGCCAGAATAATGCACTTGAATGCATCAAAGCTTTGTGATTGGCCGGCGTCACCCCATGTGTCGGGGCGTGGCTGAGGGTCTTCAGTACAGGTGGCAATATCGTCACCTGCCTGCGCTCATCTCTGAAACCAGACCATGTAAACAGGCTGGTGTTTCTTGCAAAAAATCTTTAAGAGATGACATGAGCAGTCCTACCAGCATTTGCCATGGTGGCCTAAACATTTTTATTTGGTCTTAAATTGTAGTTCAACATTTATTTCCTGTTACTTCTGGACCATGACGGTTGGCCAGCCTTCAACGTTTAACTGAGTGGAATATGTTGAATATGTTTTACCAAAATGTTGGCTATATGTTAAGGAGTTTTCAGTAGGTTGTGACAGTGCACTGCATCATATTTGATTTAATTTATTTTGGTCTAATTTATTTTTATTTATCATATTAATAATATATGTTTAGTATGGTTTTGGAAGTGTGCTCCAACATATTTGTTGATCTTGTTTATTGGTAAAATATTATTTGTTTTAAAGTTCAATAAATGGTCAATGAATAATCGTCAAAATAATCGTGATATCAATTATTGACCCAAATAATCGTGATTATGATTTTTGCCATAATCGCACAGCCCTATATGATGTCCTTTATTGTTTTATGTTTCATGTGGAACCTATATGCTGCAGGTCTCCCTTGAAAAAGAGATCTATGATCTCAATGGGACCAATCTGGTTAAATAAAGGTTTGAAATGAAAAATGGTGTGTGTGTGTGTGTGTGTGTGTGTGTGTGTGTGTGTGTGTGTGTGTGTGTGTGTGTGTGTGTGTGTGTGTGTGTGTGTGTGTGTGTGTGTGTGTGTGTGTGTGTGTGTGTGTGTGTGTGTGTGTGTGTGTGTGTGTGTGTGTGTGTGTGTGTGTGTGTGTGTGTGTGTGTGTGTGTGTGTGTGTGTGTGTGTGTGTGTGTGGAGGAGGCACAGTGGGGTGTGTGCTAAAAATATCACACACTCAGCAACCTGTGCCTACCCTGCAGAGAGAGATTACAATGCCCTGCAGAGGGGAGAGAGTGTGTGTGTATATATATATGTTTGCGTGTATGTGTTACCTTTCTGCCAGCGCTGCTGTATGGTTCATTTCTCCGGGGTAGCGGCCTCCGGGTAGGTGCATGTGGAGGGCAGAGGGGTGAAGATGAGAGAAGGCGCCCCCTCCAGGCACAGAGTAGAACTGTGAGCGCAGAGCAGAAAGACACATGGACTCGTCCATCCTGTGAAAGACAGGCAGGCAGATAGACAGGAGCAACGCAGTCAGACAATAGGTATTGTAAGGTTATCAGCAGAAATATGAAGAAAAAAAATTGCAGGTGATTTAGAAAATAAAAAAGGGACTAGCACGATGGACCATTTTGTTATTGGTTTGTTGTCTAGGATACTTGCAGAAAGTAGCAACAGCATGAATTGTTGAATTGGTTTGAACCTGCTTTTCTAATTCAGAAAATGTGCACACAGTGAGCACAGACTGAACTATAATACACCTAATGTTTTGTCTCATGTGTTATTATCATTCAATTGTTCTATTTAATAAATGGCAAAAAAATGCAAAAAACAACAATACATCAGCATTGTACATCAGCCATTGGTCACACTGCTCACTAAATATTGGAATCGTCATTGTATTCCGTACGTGTAAATCCATAATGGGCAACCTCTATTAAGGGTTAGTAGTACAAGGTGGTGTTGTTACCTTTGTAAGGACAACTGGTGGTGCAGGTAGGCAGGATGATAGTAAGCAGCAGCGGCTGCAGCGTGTGCAGCATGGGCAGGGTCCAAACTCATGGGAAGGGAGGCCATTCGAAGGTCATCTGAGGTGGCGAAGGGCCGGAGCGCTCTCAGGTACTCCTCTGGGATGCCAACCGAGGGCACACCAGGGTGCATCTGCCCAGGCAAACTGCAGAACAAGTGCACATCGTATTTATTTGGAACACTTCATAATGGGTTCTGTATTAAGATTTGTAAGAGTGATATTAAACTTCTTTACTTTTATAAACTAACATATGCTCTTACCTAAGGCTCTGTATCCTAGGGTCCTGCATTACAGAGCTGGGGGTTAGACCAAAGTGATGAGCCAGGTGGTGAGGTGAATGGGTGGGCGGAGTCCTCTTACCCTGCTGTGGATGGGTGTTCTCCACCCACTCCCTACTGAGAACACTCGGATCCACCTGAAAGACATTGAGAGAGCACATATAACTGTGAATATCCATTGGGTTTGAGTGTGTGCTAGATTGAATCTGAGCATGAAAAAAATGAAAGGGAACTGAGACTGGGTAACCCTCCCCCTCGGAGATGCACCCAGAGGCTCAGCAGAGTGGAAAAGTGGGTCTGATATGTCATAGCAGGTCAAGATTAAAGTGGAAAGATGATCCTAATTTATGGCCAACAGCTCTCTCCTTCATTGCTCTCTCTCTCTAAGAGCTTCCCACTCAAAGGATTTGGTCACCACAAAGTCCTCGATTTCTTATAGTACTCTACCTTCAAACCAACACTGCAAAAGCAGTCATAGGAAAGCCCAAATTACCTAAAGATATTTTTCAAACTTGTATATCAAATTAAAACACAAAGAGGCACTGTTGGTAACGATGCATACCATGTGACTGTTCAGGGGCTGGCTCTGTCCCACTTTGCTTAATATGTCAAGTGTCATTACTCTACTCTCTCCCCAAATAGAGACTAAACTACAGCAATGCAGCTCTCGCTTTAGTTTGGCCATTTAGCAGGCTAACATTTACTAAGCAGCACTTCACACAAAGACCAGCTGAAGCTGATAGTATTTTACAAACTAAAGTTTACTACAAAGACAAATGATGACCGAATGAGGGCACCAGATGAAAAGTCAGTGGACCACTCGGTTGACATGATTCATCCTCTGGACAACATGGATGTCTTTGCAAATGTGACTAAAATTCATAGTACTTGTAGTTGTTGACAAAGTTTAGAAGGCTGTTTGTGAAGCTACACATGGGTTGTTAACAAAGCTATATTTTTAACATGTTCAAATAGCAGCTTTATTACACCCGTTTGAATTACAAAGCACTTTGACAACTTTTTTTTTGAATATACTGACAATGCCATTTATAGAGCCAAACTGCTAGCATTGCTCAACAAATCTAATCTTCAGGGAAAAGGATGAAGCTGAAGAAAAAAATTGCTACAAAAAGAGTATATTAATAAAAACATACAGTTCCATACATTTCCACTATATTGTGTCAACTCTTGTTGCTACAGCAACAAACAGCAATACAGGTCAGACAGACCATGGATGAACTGCAAACAAATTACCTCTGCCAGCACCAGCTGATCTGCTACAAGTATTGCACAACACTTGCAGTGAAAAGTCTGTGCTTTGAATATGTTTGAATAGTTTTGAATGTGCCACATTAATGGAAAGCAGATTCAAACCAGTGATAGACTGTCTCTCTCTCACTATATCATTCTGCAATCTGCACTGGCTGAAAATGAGAAGGGGAGGCGACACAAGGAGGGTCTGGAGAACAGCCATCACATTCCTTGACCTCTGCCCCCGCAGACAGCCAAAGACCTTCACACATGCAGCGATAAACACACGCTGTCTGTTTCTTTAGCTTAAATCGTGCTGTTACAGGACAAGCTGCATACAGTAAGGACAAACACTGAATCAACGCAGAGCTTCAGAGTTCTCTCTGCCTGCTCGTTCTTACCCTCCCTCCCCTCATTTCTTAACATCCTATTCTCTATTTCCCTGCCTCCCTCCTTCTTTCTCGCTGGATGTCTGAATGGGAGCCCCAGGCAGGCAGAGCCACAGAGTGGTCTTTGTGAAGGGGGAGAAAGGCAGCTCTGATCCAGGGGGAAGTGGCTACTGTGGGGGCTCACCCCTGCATTGTGTGAGGGGCCTGGTTCCTCGCCCCACCTTAAATGTGCTCACACACCCACAAGCAAACATCCATAGATGCACACACACACACACACACTGGTCCCTCTTCACTTCGTAAGCCTTTTGTGGTGAAGGGTCAAGTACACACACATACACACAATCACAAACACACACACACACACACACACTGCAGGAAGCTGAACACAATAGGTGCCAGTCTCTGAAGCCTCCAGTGTTTCTTTACAAACCCCTCATGTGTTGCAGAAAAAGACATGGACTGATTAGTGAGAGGAAGAGGGGGTGAGGCAGAGGGGTGAAAGCATGAAAATGAAAGAATGAGACAAGACAGAGAGAGTGTGAGTCGGGGGATAGAAAAAAAGAAACGGAGGGATGGCTGGTTTTGACAGTTTGATGTTGACAAGAACTGGGACTATTTCTTTAATGGAGGGAGCAGCAGCAGGAAAGATGAAGGAGATAGAAAGAGACAAACGACTCATCTTAGAGAGAGAGAAAGAGAAAGGGAGGGAGATGTGAGAAAGTGAAACCAGAAGGAAACATAGAGTAGAGATACACAGACTGAGAGCAGCAGTCACTGATTGATAAATAACGTCTCTTACCTGTCGTCCGTCGGCCCTCCACAGGCCGTTGCTGGTCTTGGTGGGGGCAATGGTGACTACTGGAGGGGTGCCGGGGACACTGTGACCCCTGGTCTGGCCAAGGAGGGGCCCTAATGAGCCCCGCTTAGGGGTGGAGACTGGCGAGCTGTGGCTGGTGGCCGGAGAAGAGACTGGAGACGACTCACCGCTGATGGCAGAACCTGAGGCGGGGAGAGAAGGGTTTAATAACAGCTGGAGAGGCAGGAATAAACTGAAGCTATCAGACGGTGATCAGATTAAAACGATTTCAGGATCAAACGATCCCACCGTGAAATAATGCAGATGTTGCAGGGTAAGAAAACACTTTTTTGTCAGTGTGCTGGTCTGTGACAAGGTAAACAGTAATTCAATTATTTTTGATGAAAAGCTTCCTGGCAAAACGTGACAGAAATAAAAGAGAGTGTACAAAAAGGTACAGAAGGTATGTGTGTGTGTGCCCTAGCATTACTATACTTGTGTAAATCTGTTTACACAGTCACGTGTGGGGACTCGCCTCCCTTATGGGGACAAAATGGAGGTCCCCATGAAGGGAATCATTAATTTTAGGGTGAAGACTTGGTTAGGGTTAGGCATGTGTTGGTTATGGTTAAGGTTAGGATAAGTCTCCAGGAAATGCATGTAAGTCAATGTAATGTCCCCTGAAGTGATGTATATATGGTATGTGTGTGTGTGGGGGGGGTGTGTGTGTGCATTCTGTTTAAAATGCTGATAAACCTAATAGAGAGAGTACGAAAGAAGGATGTCACAAATAAAGGTGTTACAAAGAGGCTGGGGTGGTAAGCGGGGCGAAAGGGGGGAAGTGTTAAATGTGATAAAGAGAGAGTATGAGTGTGTGTTGTCTTTAATATTCACGCTACTCTTTTACTGTAACACTCAATAACAAGTAGAAACACAAACACAAACCCATTCTGAGAAAGAGCAAATAATGAGGTGGAGAGTTGGAAGGTGGGGACGAATTAGATAATGTAGAGAACGAGCTATAGGGAAAGAACGAGAAAGAGATTATGATGTAGAGTGGGGTGGGGAGAGAGAGAGAGAGCTTGTTATAATTGGCTGTAATTAGATTCTCATTATTAGGAGATGAATGGAAACGGATGAAGGAAGAGACAGAGAGGGAGAGGTCAGGATAGGTCAGATCTTATTCAACACCTTCATTAGGACACCAATGAGCTGAGTGAGGACACACACACACACACACACACACACACACACACACACACACACGGTCACACAAGAGCTACCAAGCAGTAAAATGCTTCACATTAATCAACAAATCACAACCTTGGTCTGTGAAATGATCTACTTACATAATAATTGGCAATGTGTTTAAATACTGTGTTCAAATCTATGCTGTTAATACTCATAATTATAATTATTTTTGCTTTTTGTTAGAGTTACATTTGAAGCTATGGCCAAGAGATGCTTAGCTTAGCTTAGTTTAGCTTGGCATGGCATGAAAGGGTAACCGTTAGCCATGTTACATGTTCTTGTTTGTTCAATCTGTTACAAACCATAGGAAAAAATGCCTGCGTGAGCATTAAGTTCCTCAGCTCAGTTTCTGTGTGTGTGTGTGTGTGTGTGTGTGTGTGTGTGTGTGTGTGTGTGTGTGTGTGTGTGTGTGTGTGTGTGTGTGTGTGTGTGTGTGTGTGTGTGTGTGTGTGTGTGTGTGTGTGTGTGTGTGTGTGTGTGTGTGTGTGTGTGTGTGTGTGTGTGTGTGTGTGTGTGTGTGTGTGTGTGTGAAGATCACTGCTCACCTCTGGGATCTTCGGCCTGTTTGGCCAGTTTACGCAGGGCAGCGGCGAATCCGGAGTTTGCAGACTGAGCAACTGCGTTCCCATTGGTTAGTGGGCTGAGGGGACTGACAGTGGCCGTGGTGCGAGTTGCCGTGGAGATCATTCCTAATGATTGTGATTTATTGGACTCATGGTTCATACCTGAGAAGGAGGGGAGCAGAAGGAAATATGTGAGGAGCTTTGATATGTGTACAAATGTCACCCTGAAGTATAATGCTTGATATCTTTCAGTAAAGCACAGAAAATCCAGGTAGAAAGTCAGTTTTGTCAACTGATTATCACCTCTAAACAAAAGTAAAAACAAAGCTATGAATTATTTTGTTATAACATTCATCAGTTTTTGAACACTGTTGGTATCTTATTTATCTTGAATAAATGAAACCCGTACACAAGTGCTCAAAGAGAATGGACAAGTGTGTGTGTACATGTGTGTGTGTTTCTGCCTTTGTGTCTGGACATCATAGTGAGCACATACGCGTGGCGTGGGTCAGCTCCCCTACACACAGAGTGGAGGAACTAGAGCTGTGTCAAATAGAGCGGTGACCCTAATAGCAAATCACACACATGAGTGCGCACATGTCCATTTCCTCAAGGGAGCCAGCCAACACATCTTAAGAACCTCGGCAGTGTCTACACACAAACATAATTTAGTATCAATGCCGTTTTTACACCCAGATGCAAGTATGTGGTCACACAAATGAATACACACTGTCCCACACACGCAGATAACTAGCAATCTCATTGATCTGCTTAATAGTACACACACTTAGAGCAAACGTGGTTAGTGTAACCTTTGTCTTCACCCGTACCCTCTTACTGACCCAGTAATGTTAATTACAGCTGGAATTAGCCAGCAGCCCCCCTGCCTGCTACAGCAATGACCTCATTACCACCACAACACAAACACACACACAACCACCTTTTAAACACACACACACACACACACACACACACACACACACACATGATGCCACAGGAAGAGAAAACAAACAGCCTAAGCAGTAAACATGCTCATGAAAAATGCATACGTGCACATTGAACGGGCATTATTGAATGTTCTGCTCATCACACGGGTGATTTGAAGGGTGTGGAGAAAAAAGGGCGGTCTGCTCTCAGAGTTTGTGAATTGAAAGTATCATGAATCTCATATTTTCACGGATGCCAGATTTCTACCTACTACCTGCCAGCTTTCACACATGTGAGCAAAAACAGGCAAAGGAAGCTGCAGAGCGATACACAGAGTGAGAAGAAGATATACTAAGGGAAGAGTGAACAGAAGCCAAATCTTAAACTAAGTAAACATAAAGTAGAGAGTGACAGATGTTGCAGTATGACATTATGTAAACGAACAGAGAAACGTTTCTGTACATTCTTGAAAATAAATATAAAAAACAGTTAGAGTTAAATCTTTGTTGATAAAGCTTTGTGGTCCTGCGAGTTTCCTCTGTTATCAGCTGCCACAAAGCAACAGACAGATAACACAACCTGTCAGACTGCATCTAATGCTCTGAATGACACATCCAATGGGCGTAATGTATATTAACATGCCTGCAGCTTCTGACATGTATGGTGTGTTTTTACATCAGAAAACAACTAGAGTACACCAGATCTTCTTTAATGTTCACTGTACTTTCTTTACCTTTTTGTTTCAAGCCTTATCCTCATTTATTTTATTTAATGTATTCACCATTTACCTT